GCTACAATCACTTTCTGGCAGGTGAAACACTGCATTATATTGGTTGTATTTTCCCTTTAGAGGTATTCTAGGCGGTAATAAAGTACTAGGTTAGTTATAATATGCCAAATATAACTCTTCTGAATATAATCAACTCATTTCAGGGCAGAAAAAACCCTTTCAGTCAATATGTAGAGGCTGTAATGACTTTCTGGCAGGTGGAATATTGCATGTTATGGGTTACTGGCCATCTAAAGGTATTTTAAGAGGTAATAAAGTCCTAGATTAGTTATAAGAGGTAAAGAAGTACTAGGTGAGTTATAATCTGTCAAATATATTCTTCTGAAGGAAATCAACTAATTTCAGGGCAGAAATAACCTTTCAAGTAGAGGCAAGTAGAGGTATTACTATACTGCATTTTATGTGTTGTTTTCGCCATTTAAAGGTATTTTAACAGGTAAAAAGGACTGGATTGGTTGGTACATAGCAGGTAAAATAATGCAGAGTCATAGGGATAATTGTAAAAGAGATCATGTCTTGGCAGTAAGACACACTCTGTTCACATTTAACGTTAAGTTGTGCGTGGGAGCTGACCTGATATTCTTCTCTTCTGTGCTCTTTTCTTATTGTGTCTGTGGTGTCCTCCTTTGTCATGTCCGAGTTGGGAAAGTAAAACAAAGTAAACCTGGGAAACAACAGGATTTTCTGGCCAAAATTAGCTTCCCTCTCAACAACACTACGTTAACTTGACACAGTAGCCTGACCGTGAGGTACTCTTGTGCAGCGGACTTTTTTCACAGCATTCAACAGCGTTGTTATAGCCACAAAGTAACACTTGTGCTCTTTTCCCTTTTTGTTAGTGGAATTTACAGTGTAGTTTCCGGCAGCCACGGCACGGCGGAGAGATCTGACACGTGCGTTGCGCAGACAGATGTGACATTGCATTGATGACATGAATAAAATAAATATAAAAATTAAGTAAAAGATCATGATTTACCACAGTTGTATTTTTCCTAATAACAGACAGGTGACTTCATGAACACAAATAATGAATTTAAGCATTGTGTTTTGATTTTCATGTGTGTTCATGTGTCAATGTTCATTGACACTCAATGTACCGTCCCGAATTTCACCCATTCTCTTCTGGTCACCCTAAACTACATTATAATTTAAAGTATGCTTATTACTATACATCGTTGTTTGTTTGTTACGTTAAAGACTTGTGCTGCTACCTTCTTGGCCAGGTCACCCTGGGGGGATCTCTGATCTGAACTGGCTATTTACCTGGTTTAAAAAAATTTAAAAAGAGAGAAGAAAAGAAAAAAGTGTAAGCAATATAAGAAATACTTTGAATGCTTTTGAAAAATACGTTAAAATTTTATAAAAATATGTTTTAAAAATTATACTTACTTACATACAGGCGTAAAACATTTGGCAATTACATAAATATTTTAAATATATTGCAATACACAATAAAGCATAATTGGCATATTATTGGCATATATTGGCATTTATTTTTAAGCCACTAAAAGTGTAATTGTTTAACAATATACTTCCACAAAGTAAACCTAAATAGTATTTACTTAGAGTAGTACAAATATATTTTTAATATTAAAAAAAGTTTAATAAAGCATAGATTTATTACCAATTTATTCAAAGGATGCTTTTGAGAAGTATGTTAAAGCTCAAGGGAAAAGATTAGTTGATTCCACTGAGTTCCTGTATGATGTTTTACAGTGTATTGTTAATGTTGGGCATCAATCCTGTCTCTGTGTCAGGGCTTTATTTTTCTCTCAAGCAGGTATGTGTCATGATCCTGTCTGTGTGTCTTGTTTGGGAGTCTGGGTTTAGTTCATGTTTTGGTTTTCATTCCTGGTCCTTGTTTGCATTATTGTGGTTTGGTCTCCTCTGTACTCTGTGTTCTAGTTCTGTGTTCTCGTTTAGGTTCTGGTTCTTTGTAACATGTGTGTGTTTCTGTCTTCTTGGTTATTCACTCTGCCCCATGTCTGCTTGTCTAGTGTTCTCTCTGTTTCCCCCTGCTGTCTCTCTGCCTGCCTGCTTGTCTCTCTGTTTTCCATGCTCTCTGTCTGCCTCGTCAGCCCTGATCCTGGTCACCCGTGTTGCTCCCGCACCACTCGTTAGTCCGTGTGTGTATATATGCCTGCTCTTGTCTTCAGTCCTGATCACGTCCTTGTGTGTATGTGCGTCTAATGTTGAGTGTTCCTGTCTGTTCCTTCGTTCCCCCTGTTCTGGATTATTCCCTGTGTTTTTGGATCGTTCCTTTTGTTCTGGATTACCTTTGTTTGGACTTTGCCTCGAGCTCCTTGTAAGCCTGTTTCAGTTTAGTTTTGACTTAATAAATCTCCTTTTGAACTGCATCCTCCTCTCACCTCGCCTCGCCTTGCCATTGTCTGCATTTGGGTCCTCACCCCAGTCTGCACTCAGCACCTGTGACAGTATGTCCGTTTTTTGAAAACACTACAGATGTGGATCTTATTAGTTATTAATGATGTTGACTGTTGCTATTTACAGTTGTAGTGTTCCTAACATGATCAGTTCTGCACAGTTGAACTGTAACCAAGACAGTGAGAGCTTTAATTACATGTATCACTGTGGTCGTACAGCACCAAACCAACTGCACCAATCATACAGAGCTGTCTCCCTCTCTCCTGCATTACAAATATTTGGGGCAGAGAGGGTCAAACAAAATGATGCCAGTGATTGCATCACTGGAAATGTAGGATCCAGTGTTTTTGGCGCTTGACTCATACTAAGGACCATGAGTCAAAGTATCTTAGCCTGCTGCTTTGACCATTTGACCATTTCTTATGGCTCTCCAGTGAGTCGACCAACTTCATGGAAGTGCAACAGGGGAGAGCAGGGATGGTTGTAATCAGACTGTATGATTGTAATACGGGTCAGTTGTAACACATCCAATTTCTCCAATCAGGAACAAGTTACGAGTCACTCTGCACATGCTCAGTTTAGTCCTTATTCCACATGTGAAAAAGTAGCACCCTGTGGTAGCCACAGCCACTTTTAGGAAAAAAAATTTAGAAAAACAATCTTGAGGTAAGTTTTTTTTTTTTTTTTAACTTCATTTATTTTTATTATAGCACTATCTGCTTGTAGTTAAAATCATGTTTATTGTGTGTCTTTGTAGATAGCTTTCATGCAAGTTGCAAGTGCTTATGTTTTGGCTGTAAGGTAAGCTAGTTCATGGGTTATGGGTTACAGCAATGAAAAATGATACAACCTACTCCAAGAAAATGTTAAGTTGTATTTATGTGTCTTTGAATTTCAGTATGCGTCTGAGACACACACACAGTAAAACCTGTAGGTTTCTCTGTGGGCCCATGAGGCCTGCACTCCAAGAGTGCGGTGCGTCTGGCACCATTGTGACAGTGCAAGCACAAACACACACACACATTGATATTCAGTTGGTGCACATTTGTTATGTTCACTACTATGACTAAAAGTCATTAAGATACTTGGGTATTTTCAATAACATGTTTTTCTCTTATTCCTTATTACATAATGTTACATTTCACGCCAGGGTATGTTACCGAGACTATGGGGTGAATTGTAGCATTTTACTCCTTGTCTTATGGGGGATGACTAAACAATGCATTTTCTGTCTGTGTTAGCGATAACAGTTACACCATTTAATAGTAGACACATGTAACTAGTTTGTATCGCATTTTGAACAAATGTTAGATCCATCCCTGGTCTCCCCTACTGAAAGACTGGAATACTTCTACTACTTCTTTAAAATTAGTGACGTATCCCAACACAATAGGCCTGTTTCAAACAACATATAAAATGGATTAGACATGGAATTTAATTAAAGAACCCTAACCCTAACCCTCAGGGATCAATAAAGTATTTCAGATTCTGTATTTTAGATCAGTAGTAGCTATATCTTTCAAATGAAAATTCCTCTTCAACTTTGATATTATTCTCCAATTCTTATTAGTGTAATCACCGTTTATATTATGTTCATGATTTTTTCAAAGAACAGGTTTTTTTTATTGAATGTTCTTCTATATACACAAAACATGGCTTTGAGTTTTCACATTTTACAAAAAGGATGAAGTACATATCAAAAGACAGGGAAAAACAAACCAAAACAATAAAGAAGATAAAACAATTAAATAAAAGGGAAAGGCTATTATACTAAAAAGTCTCATTGCATTCTTTGTTTTAATGACATTAAGGTCTTTTGTAAAGGAAAGAAACTCATTATGAAATACACAAAACTTCATTAACTTCATTAAAAAAATTCATTAACATACCATTAATTAAACACATAAAAGAGTTGGGGACGGCATTAGTTATGGTAGTCTTATATATATTAAAAAATATTACGATTGCCAGTTAGGTCGTGTCTTAGGCAGAAGTTCTCATATGGCATGAGACAGCTTACACTGTCTACAAAATGTATCACAGACTTACCTTTATCCATCCAGTCCTTGTTGTACAGCGATTTGTTTTTAACCGTAATATATCTATTATTCTATTATGGGGAGTTATGCGGTGTGAAATTATGATTTCCAATATAACAGAACCTCCTGGTGAAAAAGGGAGAATTTAATGGGAAATAATAATAATCAAATCACATTTATTCTAATTTCTTAAATATTTCTCTAGGGATATGGTACAAAAAGTTATTGTTCAGAAAGAATTTCAACCAATTGATATTTAAGGTTCCATTCATAAAGTCGAAATCAATAGTTTGCAGGCCACCATCTTCTCTTGGTCATCTCTCTTAACGTAGTGGACTTTCCTTCTCCAAATATAGTCAAAATTGATTTTTATTTATTTTTTATCAAGGAACAGATAGTACTTCCACATGTAAGAAGATTTCATGAGAGTCAGGGACGGTGCGGAAACGTCAGTCATTGGTTTAAAACCATGCTGGACCCGCCCTGAATCTTCCAGTCATCCAATCAAACGCCAGCTTCATTCAGCAGGCTCGAGAGGTGGGCGGTGAACGCGCAAAATTTGAAAGTTCACCGGAAACAAAAACGTCCGAGAGGAAAACGGTGTGCTCCGTATCATGTCTAGGTTTCTGTGAATATTAGAAACAAAAGTAAGTAAAGTACCTGCATGGCAGTCTGGTAATCTCATAACGTAGTGTTTTGTCTCCGTAAACATAAATGAAGGACACTACGTGTCGCGTTATCGTTTCTTTGTTTGGACGTTAGCATACGCTAGCCAACGTTAACATAGCATGCTAAAGCAACGCATTGTTGACATTTGTTTTTCCCTGGTCTAAATATAACGTAATACTGCCGTCCCGGATATCTTTAATCACTTAACGCGTAAAGTACTTTTCACTTCGACCTACTGTGTGTCAATCGTTCAGTTTATGTGTTAAGAAGACATGTTGAAGTTCAAATACGTGAGTCAGGGAACCCTGAAAACGCTGCCGTCCTCCGCGGATCCCATCACCAGCCGCAGCTCGCGACTCAATCAGCTGTTTCAGGTAAAGTAATACATATCCTGACGTTACCTGTACACGTGCATTGCCGCTAACACTATGTACAGTTTCAAACCAGCCACAGTAACTGCCAGTGACTGACTTCCCTTTTCTGTGTTCGTGTGTTGTCCCCAGGGCCGACTCAGCCTGTGTGGGCAGCAGGGAGGATGCACTTTAGGTCGGGAAGAGTTTCTGGAGGCTCTGCTGCTGCTCTACCAAGAGTGCGCCTCCCCAGAGCTTATGAAGATGCACCATGTGGCAAACTTTGTCAATAAGTGTAAGCATACATTTTACACATGTAACGTTAGGCGTTCAGTGTTTGTTGTTGTTTATTTCTTAGGCCAGTCTGGTATTTTTCCTACCACATTAGTTGACACAGTCTACATTGTATCATTTGATGTAACTGCTTCAGCATGCCTCTTTACAGTTGTTGAGCTTTTGCTGTTTATTTTCAAGACCATGATACATTCCTGCTATTTCTAGATTAGTTTTTAAAGTATAAAGTGACATCATGCTAAGTAGATTTCAGATTCCACACTAGGCAAATACAGGCCTGTCAAAACTGTCAACAAAAAAAAGACCTTATAGTAATAAGCAGCAGGCTTATTATAAGCTCTAGTGATGTCAATGCTGCACTGTACAGCAATAGTCAGCCAGTACAGTCCTCCTATTTTTCATTTTAAAAATAATATTGGTATGTTATTTTCAATACCAGACAGAAAGAATTTATTTAATACCAATAGTATGTGCACGTAGCTGTATAACTAATAGAATAAGATATTGTATTTGTGGTATGTTTACAATTTTATGTCCTAAAAGTAGTTTCACTTAATTTCTCAGAAGTTGTGTGTGTGTCTTGTAAAACAGTTTCTGAAGTGGCCTCAGAGCTGCGGGCCCTGCAGCCTTGGCTTTATGACTTTGAAGTGTGTGCAGTCGTGGGTCGCGGCCGTTTTGCCGAAGTCCAAGTAGTCCGGGAGAAGGCAACTGGGGATGTTTGTGCACTGAAAGTCATGGACAAGGCAGTTTTACGTGCACAAGAAAATGTAAGCTTAATTGTGGTTGTTTTCCATTGTTTTTCACAACTCTTTTAGCTTTACCACACGATAGGCCTTTTTATACAGATTTACACAGAGGAGAAAAACACAGGCAAAGTAATTTTACGAATGCTGCTTCAGTGTCAGGGTCCTGGTGTTGTGCATGCTGGCTCATGTCTCGATGAAGAAGGCCGATTTTGTCTCAGCATTTCTTTTAACCAGCATCCAGAGCTAAGCCACACTCAGTTGCTGCGAGAGTTATGATTAAGAGATTCTAAATCTGATGATACACAGAGCAACTTGGTATTTAACTTAAGTAAATATTTTACATTTCTGCACTGAAGATCACCAAATAAACATGAGGAGAAGAAGGTGAAAAATTAACTAGAAAGACCTAACCTCCATGCAATCACTCCCCTGTTTATTAACCTGGCTTTTACAGTGTGAAAAAGGCCCACTGGAGGGTGCTGGAGTACAGCAACAAAGAAGCTGGGGACATTATTTCACAGCTGTGCTCTTTGGCATGTGACTAATAGAACAGATCTCAGTCGGAATAGTACATGAGTTGCGACAGGAAAGGATCTGAAGTGAGCAATACAATGAACAAGAAATGTTTGGTACATGCCACCTGTGGCTGCTTTGCACAATTTTTAAATGGCATCCCACTTATAAAACTGGCAACATGAATCGAAGGGAGGAAAATGTTGGAAATGTGCATAAAAGTCTCCTAAAGTTAAGTTAAAAAACATTTCATTGAAGCCTTCAATGAATCTATGTGGCTGATATAGGGCTGGGCAATAAAACAATAATGATAATTATCGCAATATAATTTTCCTCAATAACAAGATAATAAATGTTCAATATATCAATAAATATTTGGTTTAATTCATTTGAATCAAGGACAAATTAGCACTTACATTTTCAATGAAATATTTATTTTGTTGAACAAAAGGGACTGAAAAAATATTTACTAATCATATTTGTTGAAAAAGATTTTATCACAATACTTTTGAATGTCCTACCTCAGATTTGTTAAGTGATCCACCGTTTGGCATCAACTGTCACATTATGATCGTAAAGAAAAGTTTAACCGCATAAATAACCATTTGGTTTCTTCAATTTTTACTCAGGAGCAAAAATCAGCCTTTAAACTTGAAAGAAATAATGATTTGACATATATCATGATGATAATCGATATTGAATGATCAAAGATTTTTATTGTGATAACATTTTTGGCAATATCGCCTAGCCCTAGGCTGATACTCTATTCACAATAAGATTATGCCTTGATTTAATGTAAATATGCTGATTGCCTACCTTATGAATTCTTCTCAGGTGGTTTTTCATGAAGAGGAGCGGAGGATCCTGTCTCTGAACAGCAGTCCCTGGATCCCGCAACTTCTCTACGCCTTCCACGACAAAGAACATGTCTACCTGGTGAGACTGAAATTTTTGTCTGATCTTGAGGATAGACTGAAATTATTATTCCTCTTTGTGAGAAGCATGTTTTAAGCATCTTTTGCAAACTGACATAGGCCAAACTATCCCCTAACTGGCATAATAAACAAGCCAAGCAAATAACACACACTTGGTGGGTGTAATATGCATTTTAGTGGGGTCGTAGGACAGGCCTTTGTGTTAGTATAGGTCTGGAGGTAGTCTTTTAAGTGAAGTGCACTAACTGAAAAAACTTGTAGCCACTGTGGTCCCTAGCTCAACCATTTGTTAAAAGAGACCAAACGGAACCAGATGGGGTGCAGTGGTCCCCATTACAATTACGTTGACATGTCGGCAGTGTGGAAGCATTTTAAAGTGTCTGAGAAAGACGCAAAAATCGCTGTTTGCAGACACTGTTCTGCTGAATTGTCTCCTAGCACATCCACTCCATCTGTGGCTGACTTCTTTGAAAAGGAAACAAACGGTCGCTTCTGAGAAGGCGATTAAGCTAGCCGCACCTAAATTTGGATTGCACACGTATTCAAGCCTTTATGGTAAATCCACTGAAATGGACCAGAGCAGCTGACAGGCAGGTTAGCGACTTTATTCTGTCATTTTCCTCTTTACAAAGATAAGTGTTGCAGTATGAGAGTCTGACCTGAAGAGAGGCTATGAAGTCCTTATGTTGCACGATACGAGAACCACATGCAACATTATTTATCAAATTGGGTCGGACTTGATGAATTTATTAATTGGATTATATCCACAGAAAGTATAAAACATATTATGTATGTCCATTAAAAGTAAATGGACACATGCAATTTACTTTACTGGACCCTCTTGGACCTCGGACCCACCCACCATAGTCTCTCCAAATCCTGTGGGAAACACTGAGTAAAAAGCACATTTAGACTATTTAATTGATGCCATGGTTTAAAAAAAAAAAAAAAGGCAAAGTGAATGGAAAAAATGTGAATGTGCTTGTTTGGTGTTCGGTATTCTGCAATTTTTTTTTCATTGTATTCGTTTTCTGCTTTGACCAAGAATTTTCATTTCAGTGCATCCCTAGTGCAGAATCTGTGCAGTAGATGGCTTTAACTGGCAGCTGCAACAAATTCCTTTGGGGTAATTATGCAGGTGGAAACAAGGGAGAGGAGTTTGTTTTGTAGCCTGTGAGTCTGACCAATATGGGATTTTAAAGTCTGATACAGATTTTGACATTTGAGGATTTTAAAATCTGATATTCCAATATATCGACTATATCGCTAACACATAACATTAACAAAGATTATTCCTTACATTTGTTATATGTAGACCTCACCAAGATAACATGATATAATGCAGTTTAAAATTAAACTTTTTTATTGTTACAAATAGAACTTTGAACAAAAGTACATCTGGGAAGTAGCAGTGTGCCCTCTGGTGGACCAGCTATGCAGCGACAACACTCATGAGTGAAGGATCCGACTTCCGTGTCTCCGTTACTTATTTAATTGTCATTTATCGGCTGATACTGATTTATCTGCAGTTAGCTCATATCAGACGATAATATTGGCACACCGATTTATCTTTTGGGGCAAATTGTGTTTCTCCAATACAACAAACCTCTCTCCAACTCTGCAACAACTTGCCTCTCGCAATATTTTAGAGTGACAATTTTCCTTGAGCGAGACATTTGTTTGTTGTTAAAAACAAAGGGTGTCACAAGGTGTCATTCGTAGGCATCATTTCCTTGATGTTGTTAGACACCTCGTATAACAGTCTGTGCCTGTTGGTGGACAAAAGGAGCACTTTTTGTGCACAGAATTTTGATGGGCGCAGTTTCCCCAAAGAAAAAACATTGCAGCCACTGCAGCCGGTTCATGGCTGCCGGATGAAGCCATCTACTGCACGGGTTCCAAAGCCTTTTGTACTTACTAGTCATTTTGACTCAAAAAAATGTGAAAACAGGGCCCAGGTTTAAAAATACAGAAAGTACCCTTTAACATCCATGATGTTATTTTCTAGATGTGGTCTTTTTCAATAAGTAACGTGATATAAGAGTAGTTGTTCTTAATGTCAACCTTTGTTTGAGGAGAAACTAGAAAACCTTCACATTAAAGAAGCTGGAATCTGAGAATTATTACTTTTTTAATTTTTTTTATTTACTGATTAATCAGTTATCAAAATAGTTGGTGATAAATGTAATAGTTGACCATTTTTCAGTGAATCGTTGCAACTCTAAGATGTTCATTGTATTGGTTGATAATAACTAATTATATTCCTTAATATTGTCCTCATAATCTACAATATATTCTCCTACTGTTGTCATTGGGCCCAGCTGTTATTGCTCAAAAAATAGCTCCAATGTACTGTATATAAGTTACCTAATTCAACAACCACTGTGTCTTATTTTCTATTCCTATATGTTTTATGCTCAGAGTAGAGCATAGCCTATTTTTATATAAAGCAGTATATAAGACAGATGTATTGGAAGGTGTTTTCATTTCCTTTCACAGCTGTGATTTCCAAAACGTGACTAACAGAACAGCTGGATCAGTCAGAATAGTACATGAGCTGCTACAAGAAGGGACCTGAAGTGAGCAATTCAAAGGAACAACTTGTATGTTGAAGAAACGCTTTGAAGTAAGGGGGTGGGAGGGTTGTTAGCCATCACCTTCCAGCAACTTCACTGTTTTGTTGTGTTATGATGTTGCTTGTAGCTTGCAGACTAGCCATCAGTACAGCCAGGGGCCACCAGAGTTTTGTTCAGATGAACAACATTTTTCAATGCTGTCAACTCTACTGAACAGGACCTCTGAGATGCCCAAATTGTGATTTAGTAACTGCGACTAAAATATCACATTGCAGAAACTACGTCTGTGAAAACCGGCTAAGCTTCCTGTGTTTCAACTATTGGAAAAACACCTCCTGGATCTCTGTTCTTAATGTGGATTTGTAGAATTAATAGATGCTTCTCATTTGACTCTGGTTAAGGATGTAATCAGGAATATTGCCCAAAATGTTAGTGTCTAATAGTCTAATCTTCCGCCGTGAAACACAGTGTCAGTTTTCTCCTCACAGATCACGTCCAGTGAAATCATCGTGAAGGCTGTTAACCTCACAAAGAATCTATATTTACTCTGATGACTTGTTAGACTGGTGTAGGGAGTAGGAGGAAAAAAGCATTTTCTGCCTAGCCATGCTTTATACTGTGCACTGCCCTTTTGGTTTTCTTTCTCTCAGCGTCCCCTCATACGTCCCTTCATGCCCCCTGCATGTATGTCTCCATTTTTCCTCCTGTCTTTTCAACCCCCCCCCCAATCACCCTGCTCCCTAACTGAGCACAGAGGAAAATACAAAGCATCCATCTTTATCGGTGTGTCGGAGAGGCGCCCAGTCTCCCTGTTGCTAGGTAACACTGGAGAATGCTCCCGTTCATTCAGACTCGCCGACCATTCATGCATCGGGGGCTCTCTGCTGTTATGGCTGTTTGGCTGCCACCATATAGCTCAGATCAGCCCGGCCACTGCCTTTCATCTCAGGATGCGGACAGCAGAAAAGAGAACTGGGGTCAAACATGACCAAGGCTGATTTGTGTTTCCAAACTTTAAAGTGCTCAATGAGGTGTCTGTTTTTGTGTTGTTGTTTTTTTGGACATGTCATTTTTTTAGCCAAAGATCACAGACACACAAGGCCATTGCAGTTATGGTTGGGGTTGTATTTTTAGCTATTGAAGACCAATCCTCTGACTGCAGTACCACAGATAAATCTGCAATAGTATGTGGTGTTGCATAACTGAATCCATAATGAGGAGAACCACCCTATAAGCTTAAGCTGAATAGAGCTTTGATGTAAGCTCAAACACATGTCGTCCCGCACTTGTTGCTTTGTTTTTATTTCTAAATATAGATATATATTTATAGGCATTCATTAATGTTTCAACAGCATGGGATACTTGTTCATTTTAATCACATCGAGACACATGTTCATACCATGTTCTGGCCAAAGTTTTATACTGATAATATCTCTTTAGGCGATGGAGTACCTGCCGGGAGGTGACCTGATGTCCCTGCTCAACCGATACGAGGATCAGTTTGATGAGTCCATGGCTCAGTTCTATTTGGCTGAGCTGGTAGAGGCCATTCATGCTGTCCACCAGCTAGGCTATGTCCACAGGTAAGACACCAACAACCTCTCGTTGATAACAATGATTGATGTTTCAAGGCACTGAGGTATAACTCAATAAATTAAGGTAGTAGGGCCAGAGATCCTAAGTTGGTACGCTTACATCCTCACTAAATATCATACTTTGTTTGCCTTTTGTTTTCACTTGAAGGCCAAATGCACATAATTCATGAAAACATTAACTGGACATGAGACATGTAGTATTGTAATTTAACTTAGACCACTGAGTTTGATGTTTTATGCAAATACAAAAACATTGCTGCAGTTTACAAATGTATTCCATTATCGTCAGAGCGGCAGACATATTACAGTACTCGGGCAACAAACAGCTCTCTAGCAGCAGTATCAAATCCCTTCTAAACCATCCACTTGCAGAGATGTCAAACCAGAAAACGTTCTCATCGATCGAACTGGTCACATTAAGCTGGCAGACTTTGGATCAGCTGCCAGGCTGACTGCTAACAAAACAGTAAGTAGATTTCAGAGTTTGCTGTTCTATGTATTAACTTCAGTGCCAGTGACATCATTGTGTTTTATAAATGCATTTCCAGGTTGCAGCGCTCACAGTGCCTGTTGGGACGCAGGACTTTCTCTCCCCTGAGGTCCTGGCAGCCATGAATGGGGGCCCTCACAGCACTTACGGGGTTGATTGTGACTGGTGGTCCCTTGGAGTCATAGCCTATGAGATGATCTATGCCAGCTCGCCTTTTTCTGGTGGCACTGCTACCAAGACAGTCCACAACATCCTCAACTTTCAGGTACATAGCCTGTCACCTCGACTGGTACAGAGATTGGTCACTGGTTGTATCTGATCTGTAATGGTCTGCAACTTAGAATTCCAGATAAATGATGAAATTAACGATCTTTTTACTATTCCCAGTATACTTTATGAAAATGTGCGGCCTGATGTAACATCTGATTAGTCTATGCTTTATGTAATGAATCCTTGTCCGTGTTGTTTGCCCCCTAGCGCTTCCTTAAATTTCCGGAGGAGCCGCGGGCCAGTAAGCAGTTTGTAGACCTGCTGCAGAGATTGCTTTGTGGAGCCAAAGAGCGACTGGGTTTCCAGGGACTCCACTGTCACTCTTTCTTCTCCAGTGTAGACTGGAAAAACCTTAGACAAGGTAAAGAGATTCCTCTCTGTTGAGACTCTGTTCTTCTCTCTTTGCAGTGAAAACGCTCAATTTGGCTTCAAATGACACCGTGTCGCTGTAATCACGTTACTCGACAGATGATATACGACCAGTTGTCAAACATTAATGTAATTTATAATATACATAAGTGTGGTGTGTGTGTGTGTGTGTGTGTGTGTGTGTGTGTGTGTGTGTGTGTGTGTGTGTGTGCTGCACATTCACAACAAACAAGGAACTGTGTTGCCAGTGGTAGTAAAATAATGAGATTCTGTGTGCTGTTGGCAGTAGGCCAGCTCTTTCCTGAGGAGGAGAATGGGAGGGAGGCAGAGACAAGAAGCGAGGCAGACGGAGTAAAGATCTGCAACTCATCTGCTTCTCAACAGACGCAGCACGAAATATTTTACGCTAGCGACGGCAGACACGCTCTCTGTGGCGGAAATACATGTGCGTTTCTTGTACGTCATTGTTGCCAAATCAAGTCTGAGACCACACTGAATGACAGAGAGTTTGACATTTTCACCTGACCAGCTGTGGGAAAACACACCCATGACGTTCAAATTAATCGATATTTTCAGTGAAGCATGGTCCCATTAAAGATCCTTCGCTCTACAGTGGCTCTGTAATTGAAAACTGTATAGCTGCAGGGGAGATGAGTGTTTATTTTGCTGTGCAGAATACCTCGTGTCTTCAGATGAATAAACCCTCCTTTTTGTGATTTCTGGATTACCAAACATCGCAGTGGCGGTCATTCCCCCAGAGCTGTTATAATATTCCTATCAGTGCTGAATATTAATTAATCTAGTTGTTTGTTTGAAAATCCTCATTATTATCAGAAGGCTATGATACGGTGCTAGAAATGCAGGAGATTTTTGTGCCTGTCTGTGTTGAAGGGAAGATTTATTTAATGTTGTTCTGCTCAATGTTAATTGATCATCTTTGAGTAATAAATATCAGATACACTATATATGAAAAAAGAGAATCTCATACATGCATGTTTGTACTGGAAATACATCTAATTGGACACAGATAAAGCTTGATGCTTCATCTTTGGCTCCAGCTGATTAGCTTGCTCTGCTGCAGTGAGGGAGAGCGAGCGAGCGAGCATGTGTATATGAGAGCGAGCAAAGGAGGGAGGGAGGGACTCAGAAGCAGCATGTGCATCAACGCGCAACTTACCGCACTCTAGGCTCCCACCGCTCTGCTCCGTTCCTCCTCCCTTCCTTTCTCTCCCCTTTCTCCTTGTTGTGTTTTTTTTTTTTTTTTTTTTTTTTTTACTACTTTGTTCGTCGCTGCTTTCTCACTTCCTCCTCTCATCCTTTCTCCTGCAGTTCTCCCGCCTTTTGTTCCTGCGTTGCACTCTGAAGATGACACCTCTAATTTTGAGGAGCCGGAGCAGGCAGCCCCCCGGCCAGCCTCAGCAGCCCAGCGAGGAGCTCTGCCAGCGGGCTTCCAGGGCCAGGATCTGCCCTTTCTAGGCTGGTTCTTCAGCAGACCATTGACAACATTGGCCAAAACTGAGTAAGTGCTACCGGTTTACTAGGCATTGTTTGGCTTTTTTGTTCAAAGACCACCCCTCTTTTTCTTGTAGTCAACGCAGAGACCTCCTGCATACACCTCTCTAACACACCTTTGACGGTTAAATACCATATACTACCTTTGGCTGCTGATCTGCCTTTAGACTCCTCATCACCACAGCAACAAATTCCAGGTAGCCTTGATTCAGGTGACCTAGTGTGGTGTCCTGGGCAGTTGGTGTTGTGTCCCCATCATTAGTGTTTATGCCTGTTGGGGCCAAGATGGGTTTGGCCATATGCTGTGTCAGACAAGGAACGAGGAAGGGGAGGGATCTCCCTGTTCTCTGGCGCTCTCTCCTTCTGATTCCTGAATTTTGTGCCTTTGGGATCACGCGTAGTTGATCCGATGCATAGATAGATCAAATGAATGGACAAGAGAATGTGAGCTGGCGTTATCTTGCCATCTGCGCTGATTGGTATGCGGCTGAGTGTGTCAATGAGGCTTGCTGAGAGGTGGAACCCCAGACACAGACACACTCCCACCCTCGCTGCTGTTATTGTGCTTTCTCTGTTACCGTGCAGCATAATGGGCTCCTGACTTTTATAGCATGGGTTTTTTAGGACTGTAATTATCCCTAATGCTGTTTGGCTTCTTAACCTCTGATAATAATGTAAGAGGATGGGTTTCATTGCTGTAGCCCTGTGGCATTGCTCTTGCAGGTTAATGGTCCTGGAGACTGCGGATCATGACAGCAGCAGCAGCAACAGAAAGGGAAGAAAAAGCAGATTAGACAGAGTCCTCAGATTGGGGGAGAGAATCTATTTCTATGGTTACAACCGTGATGTGTTTTTTTTTTTTTTTTTTTCTTCCTCCCCTGTCCCCACCCCCCATCTTTACCCGTCTCATCTCCTCCTCTTTTTTTCTCCCTCTTCTAATGTCTCTGTCCCTTGCTGTTACACCATCAGTCATCTGCTCATGGTTTTTTAAACTGAAGCCAGTCATTTTCTTTGCTGCATTTAATTAAGAGGAGCTCATAGAATGTGTCAAAATTGTCTGGGTGCATGTGTATGCGTGTACACATTCTTCATTGCAGCAACCAAAAAGGAAAGAGATCCCAGAGCCAGGAATAATGAATTGCTAATCATGTGTTTTGGGGGTTCCTGCTATGTATTTCTTCTTTCCATTCTGTGTGAACTTGTCTGGCTCCTCCATTAGTATAACTCGACAACAAAATCCTCTTAACAGCTCGCCTCAAATTTATAAGAAGCTATCTGTCGTTTGGTGTCAGAAAATCATCTTTGCAAGATGGTTTGAGTGGTAGCTCACAGAAGTTTTCTGTCTTTTTGTTGCCTCAAAGATTTCTCAAAAAATCTGCCCTTTTCAGGCAATATAGGACAATTTTGCAGTGTTTTGGTAAATGTACACAATATTTTTTGTTTTGAGTAAATCTTTTGTGTCAGATGGTCATTCTGTCTGGCCAGTCATTTACCACTTTGGTCAAGAGCAGGATGTCTTGGCAGCTACAGATCAGATTGCCATTAATGGCTACAACCAGATGGTCATGAGATGGATATTCATAGTCCCCCCGAGAATGATTCCTAATAATTAAGGTGATCAACTGACTTTTCAGCTGGTTCAGAATCTCCCCTCCGACGTGGTATCTCAGCAAATTATTGCCCAATTTTCAAGGAATCTGCTGAGGATATTCATGGTCTTCGGAGGATGACTTTAGAGGATGGTTTTTAATGACCCTCTGTCCTCCAATTTCACCATCAGGCCAAAACCTCCACTTGGACACAAGAAATAAAAATTGAAATGGCCAAATTGTTGCGCAAATTCCTGAATCCATTTACGCTCCACAGCAGATAAACCCCTTTTTTTTTTTTTTTTACTTTTAATGGCCAGCAGCCTTTCCTCTAGCGCCACCCATAGTACTGTGGGTGGGTGGACTTAAAAATTGCAAATCTTTCATTTTTAGTTATTTATTTAAATTTTTTTTAAATCAGAGCTGTTTATTTGTATTTATTTTTAGATTAAAATGGTAAAATCAAAATACTGATTTGCTACATATCATTTGCACACATTGTGTGAGTGAAATGTCAGCCAACATTATGTTGCTCATCAAAAAGCAAAATTAATAAGGAAACATAAATGCACGAATATGTTTCAGTCAAACTGTGACATCTAAGATGATGGTAAATTAAAATGGTCTACATATTGGAGCCTTTCCCATCCTCTTTGGGAGCCAGTTGTTTAAGTGTACTCAACTCCATTTGGACCACACTCCCTCCACATCGTTTGCATGTATGTTCAGTATGAATGAAGGTGTTCATTTGATTATTGGCTTCTTCAAATTAGATTTTTAGTGTTTTTTTATTAGTTTGGTATGAAGCACAAGATTGATATTGCAAACAACAGTGAGTGGTAATGTCCTAATTTCTACAAAGATGACTGAAGGTTTCCTGAAAAATACTGTCCCTTTGCAACATTGCTTGTGTGTACTTTGATCTGTTATGTGTAGGATTATGTATTTGTTTGCATTTTCTTTAGTGTGTGTGTTCTATTCTTTTTGTTTACCTGATCAGCGCTACAAAGCCTTTAACTTGCAAACTTTCCCAGACTCCCCCTCTCTCTTTGATTCTCTTCAATTATGCAGTCTGCACTGGCTACTCATTTATTTTCCCTCCACAGTACAGAGACTATCTAGCATATTCCTCAGCTAGGAAAAAAGTGGCCTGGCATTTTGTCTCTTGTAAAAATATTTATTTTCTATTAATATAATATTACTTCCTTCAAAAACAATTTTATTCACTCCACTTTTCTCTACTGACTCGTTCTCCATACTTCTAAGTTAAAATTCACCACGTCTTTGACAGTTTTAAGAAAGACACTGATAGATGAAAAAAACATCTAGCTCAATGCAAAAATTGTCATATTATTTGAACAGTAGCACCCTGAAACTGTGCACTGGAGAACTTAATGAATTTTGATGTCTGACATAAATTTTTAATCGGCAACAGATTAGCTAGCTGGAACGCCTCTTCATTTAATCTAGATTTCTGTGAAAATTACTGGTTGGGGTGTTTTTGTTAATGATATGAGCCGTATGTGTGTGTGTGTGTATATGTATGTATATATATATATGTATATGTATGTATATATATATATATATATATATAATTTATGTTTTAAGGGGGATGTCTTAGTGCAGAGGCGAAGGGAGCAGTGTTTGCTATCGTGATTATTTTTAACACTATGACTCAGTCTGAGTCAACTTTATTAAAGATCCCTCTGCGGTATTTGTGAACTCATTCAATACAGACCCATTCATTTATTTAGAAGACTTAAATTTCAGAGATGTCTGTTCTCTGGTCAAGAGAAGAGTGGAAACTGATGTTGTGCTCTAAATTATTACCAAAGACTGGAAACAAAATAGGACATCACCTTACATAAACAGGGGGTAAAAAAACATGAAGAATGAGTGCATTGGACTCACTACAGAGCTCTGTGGAGAGCAACCCAAAGCAAAAGCATAGCCCAAATTCTTCTGTCACATTATTCTGTCAGGCAAACAGCAAATGTTCCCAGGTCTACACGGCTGTTTTCTTCAATGCAGTCTGTTTTGTCCTGCGTGAACCACTGCAAAAATGTTCTGTTGAATGTTATTCTAATAAAGTACAGAGTACTTTTCTTAAAAAAGTCAACACTTGTGTGCTCTTTGTGTCCGTTACTCATTTACGATGTGTGGGTGTCGTGTCTGTATTTCAGCCAGCTTAATAACAGCTGTTTGCTGTTGGCTTGGTGCTACATGATGTGGCTCTAAGTCATGATATGTGACTTTCAGTTATCCTCTTTTTGGTCACCTGATATGATTTCAGAATTTGTGACATTTTTATGCAATAGAAATATGTATTTTGAATTGCATCCATGTATGCTATACATAATCCTATTTAGATTTAGTTTGGTGACTGAAGAACATCTATATGTGTTTTCCTCAGGTCAGTGTCTGCAGGCCTCAACTCTCCTGCTAAGACCAACTCCATGGAAAAGAAACTGCACATTAAAAGCAAAGAATTACAAGAAACTCAAGACAAATGTCACAAGGTGAGGGTGCACTTTTAGCTCTTTTTTTATTCACGTTTCAGTAGTTCATCTCTAGCCCTTACGACAACAAGTCATTCCTGATTTTCAAATCCAAGAGCAGCTCCATCAAGCAAGCCAGAGATGACTAGACTAAGACTGATGGCTAACTGGAAACTGAAAAATTATATTTCCATATTGTAGAATTTTCTTTTGAGCAAAGAAATTATTCTATCATGGGTTTTATTACCAGACGTCTTGTGTTTATTCTGGCTGACTGGCTTAAACACAGATCAAGCAGGCTTCTGGTGCCGCTGTAAGAAGCCAAGTTGTTGTGTGTACAACATTACAACTACATTATTTTGAAGCATTCTGGGTTGGGTGATAGGTCATATATATCAGCTATCAGCAGAATACATGGCTGATGGACCCTTCTCGCTGATTACAACCGCCTCTTCAAGTACCTTTACATCTGTGTCGCATCAAATGTAACACAAACTGTTCATATTTGTCAGCCTTCAGTAAAGCAGTGAAACTGGTAATTCTGTTTCCTCTGGTGGATTCAGATGGAGCAAGAGATCTCCAGGTTCCAGCGTAAAATGACTGACCTGGAGTCAGTGCTCCACCAGAAGGATGTGGAGCTGAAGGCATCCGAGACTCAGAGGAGCATTCTGGAGCAAGACCTCGCCACCTACATTACTGAGTGCAGCGTGAGTCATAATAACAACTGTGTGTGTGCAGAATTTAAAGAGATGTTTAAACGTAAAAATGCTCTTACACGACTTTGTGTTTCACCGCATATTGGTACACTTGCATGTCACTGTGCTCAGCCCAGCAAAAATCAGTATTGATTTGAGCAAACAGCAGCGTTGAGTTTGTGTGCACGTATGTGTTTGTAGAGCCTAAAGCGAAGCTTGGAGGAGGCACGTGTGGAGGTCTCCAGAGAAGATGACAAGGCTATGCAGCTGCTGCATGACATCCGCGAACAGAGCAACAAGCTGCAGGAAATTAAAGAGCAAGTATGTAAATCTTCTCATTCAAGCAATCCTCTGTCTCCTCCTTCTCATTACGATAATGATGTGGTGCATTTGGAGATTTTTTTTTAAACACTTAACAGTATTTATACTAAATATTTGTGCTGAATGAGGGAAAAAATGCACAACTTTGTACTGCATCCATAACGTCATTATTTTATTTGAGGGGATTCCTTTCCGTCTTCATACCATCATAGCTGATAAAGACGTAACTGAAGCAGTAGTGAGATTATAGTCTTCTCTGTGCAGCCCTGTTGCATAGGCAGGGCTTTCCCCTCTGAGGACTCCCTTGTCCTCAACTTTCAAAAAGGTCATCTCTGCAGATGGCATCCCTGCAAGGTACTACAGTACATGAGGCTTTGATCATTACTCAAGAGATTCGCCCACCCTCCTCCCAGGGGAATGAAACGCAGCATTTACATTTTTTTAAATCAGTGTTTATGATTCGAATCACACATTAAATTTTAACTCAAAAAATTTTTCAGACAGATAACCGGAATGACCTGTAATGGACAAGACATTTTCATCCTTCATGGTTGAGATCCTGTCGAATAGCCTGATGTAACTGACTACAGTTGAAAATGTTTGTGCACAGGAAGTGACAAATTAAAGAGTGAAGCGTTTACCAACATCAATGTAACATGTTGTCTCTGCAGAGATTTTTTGAGACATACGCAGTTATTTTTTTCTTTCACTTATAGACTTATAGACTAGTGCAAAGTTGCAAACTACAGCTTTAAAGTAGTAATCCTCGACTTGTTATCTTTCATTTTGACACTTTTGGTAATAAATGGTCATTGCTGCAGTCACTGCAGTTTCTATAGATCACTGCATAATGAAACAGTGTCAGCAGATCTGTGAAGTATATCTTTGTCTGTATAGCACTGGCAGCAATTGTTGCCTGTGCTAAGAGCACCGTTCCTCTGTTCAGGCTGGGCCAAATAAATCCTTGCTTTGGTTGTATCTTTTCAAAACGTACGCATAAAAACCTGCTGGCTGTTGTTTTGATTTGCTTTAATAGGAAAAGCTTGAATTCAACAGTACATTTATTTAAGACAAACACTATTCTAAGAACCAACACTAAGTTGGTATATGTTGAATCACTGCTGAGTTCAATCATTTTGTAATAAATTAATATTTGAAAATGTGATTGATTATTACTTGAAGAGTTGTACAATCTTGTTTCCTTATGTCCTTAAATACTTAAAAACAGAATGAGCAAATGGATTGCATTTATATAGATGCCTCATCAGCAGTTCTTGTCAACACACAACATTGTGTTATATTAAGGATATACTGTAAGATGGTCATAATGGTGATGAACTTAACTAAACTTCATGAAACTTGACCTCAGATGTTGAATGAATTCACAGTCAGTGTTTGGACGGCTGTTTTTTACCCATTGATGACTGCTGTGTGCTGTCCGTGGACTTAGGAGTACCATGCACAGCTGGAGGAGATGCAGGTCACCATCAGGCAGCTGGAGGAGGACCTGTCAGCTGCCCGACGCCGCAGCGACCTCTACGAAGCTGAACTTAGAGACTCCAGGCAAACAAGCGAGGAACTTAAAAGGAAAGCTGTGGAATACCAGCAGAGAATCCAGAAGGTATGTTTGTACTAGACGCTTATAGGTCATGTAATGCAAATTAAAGTGTCTGTCAAGTAACAGGTAGAGTATCAGGGCCTCAACTGTGCGTTATACTACAATCCAGTATTTAAAAAATGTGAGACTGTAATTAACATTGAGTTATAAACATGCTAAGTGTGTCTGAGTTGTGTTTTGGTTTTACATCACTGTCTAATTTGAGTCTTTCCTTGTCGGTGCTAACTGCTGAAGTCATAGCTTATAAGAGCCAAGCACACAATCTGCAAAACCTATATACGTATGATGCTGTCCTTTCCACTTTGGTTTGATTGGTAGTGTTTGATAAAGCTTGTTGCCATCAATTATTGAGCATTATTGAATATAATATTGCGGTCTACTTAGTCTGACAGACTAATGGACTTAAATTCCGACTATGTTTTGTAAAAGACATTACATCTGATGCTACACTGGCTTGTTGGAGCCTCAAAGTGAGACTTCAGTATAATATTCATTTTCAGCCTAAAAATAAAAGCATATCTCTTAATGTGCAACTTTACAGATTCTCAACAATCAAAAGTAACATAGACCTCAGATATTGTAGAAGTCATTGTGAATGTGTGCACAGATTAAAATTAAGCAGGACTCAAGTGTGAGTTGCATTCACAATGGAGCAAGCTGTTAGTTACATTAAAAGAGTTTTACATTTGATAGTCTTGTGGATAAAGGCCCAGGACGTGCTGCTGGAGGGATTACATCTCTCCGTTGGCCTGGAAGCTATTGGGATCCCTCAGGTGGAACTAGAGGAAGTTTATGGGAAAAGTGCTGCCTGGGCAGCTGTGCTCGCCCTTTCACCACTGTAACCGCTACAGAGAGGGTAGAGTCTTCTTTATTGATCAGTCTCTATTATATGCTAATTGTTTTTCAGGCTAAAGAGCAGGGCAAAGCCGAGGTGGAGGAGCTTCTCTCCAAACTAGAGAAGGTACCAAATTAATTGATCTATGCGCTTAGAGCAGTAGTTACCCTAAAGTTTCTTTACTGAGTTCACTGTGCTTTGTTTTTTCAGACCAATTCTGAGCAGCAGGTCAAAATCCAGGAGCTCCAGGACAAACTGTCAAAGGTAAATTAATGTGAGAAACATTAATGTGAGAAAACATTATTCAAATTATTCAGGTCAAAAAAGTGACTAAATTCTTTGCTTTTGTTGTCTCTCCTAATCTCCGAAAAGCAGATGAAAACAGTTTACAGAATGTAGCAGTTTTACCAATTTTTGCAGCCTGCTGTTCTCCATTTATTCCCTTGAGTAGCTATTTTTTATTTTTTTATTTTTCAACGTCTCTGTGGATAGGAATTGCCCAAGCATATCAAGAGGTTTGTCTTGGGATCCACTAACAGCCTTTGACCTGCTGACCTTCCCCAGGCAGTGAAAGCAAGCACAGAGGCCACAGAGCTGCTGCAGAATGTTCGGCAGGCCAAAGAGCGGCTAGAACGAGACCTGGAGCGCCTGCGAGGCAAAACCGATTCTAGTGACACTTTAAAACGCCGCCTGAGAGAGACAGAGGTACCAGAACTCACAATACTAAATAATGCAATATGTGTTTAATAGTGCTTGGTTTCTTTGTTAAATTTTGCACCCCAACACAAGTCACTCTTTTCTGTGCGGTTAGCTTTACGTTATTGTTTTTGTGGTGTAAGCAGGAGGGCAGGAAGACCTTGGAGAACCAGGTAAAGAGGCTGGAGATGGTTGAGCGGCGGGAGAATAAGCTGAAAGATGACATTCAGACCAAATCCCAGCAGATCCAGCAGATGGCTGAAAAGATCCTGGTGAGAGAGCTGCAGATAAGGCTTGCTAATACTCTGACCCACTTAACCCCTAATTTCACCCCCCTGCCCACCCCCATTCATCCAGTATCCTCATCAGTTATCTCACCAATGTACCCACTGCACACACTTCTCTAAAGAGAGCTCCTTGTTATCTGAGCCTTCATACATGGCTACTAGTCAACCAGTGCAATTACAAACATAGATTTTGAACATACACGTAACTTTACCGGTGTCAGCATGAGCAGGCAGCGCAGCCGACTTGTGGATTTCCAGCTTTTCAATGCAAGTGTTTTTCATTTCTTTTAATTTTTCTGTTAATCATCACGGTGATAGTGTGTAATATACAAAGAAAATGTTACTCTCTTTAGGAACTGGAGGAGAATCTGCGGGATGCCCAGTCGACAGCCCAGAGGATGGAAACTCAGCTGGTTCAAAAGGAGAGGCTTTTTGAAGACAAGATCAAGGTGGGTCAGCCTTACATTGTCCAGGCTACTGAAAATATATCTGCGAATGTGTTCATATACAAGTGTAGTAATTCCTTGTCAGTCTTGCCATTTCAAATCAGTGTTGTACATTTACAACCATGTCAGTTATTTATTTATTTTTAATGATTGCTTTATCACGTAGCAAATTACAGACTTAAACCTAAATGTGAATTTGTGGAGTCAGCATTGACAAGTCTAATCTTCGCTGGTTCTGTCTGGTCAAGGTTCTGGAGGCCCAGATGAAGGTAGACTTGGCTGACAAGGAAAGTCTTGAGGCCAGAAGGGCCCAGCAGGAGGCGGAGTCGCGGGAGAACTGCAAACTTATCAGTGAACAGAAAGCGGTAAGAAAACACAACAGCCTTTTTCTTTTTAAATATTTATCCCCTGAGGTATTTGCTAGTAAATTTTCTGAGGTGGGCATAAAGCTTTAATTTGAGCCAACAAAGGGATTTAAAGTATTGCATTTGGCACTTTGACACAACAGTAGAAACAGCAGCAATTTATATAGTTGTCTGCTTTTAATTTTTTCTCCCTGAAGTCCAGTCTGTACTGAATGTCTCAATGAGTTGAGTTGTGAACATATCCTACCTTGTCATTCTCCTCTGAATTGGTTCAGAAAATTTGACAGCTAGACTTAATCAATGTTTTTTTGTTTCTTAACACAGTAATTTGTTATAGTGGATCAAATGTATTGGAATCTACAGCTGGATTAAATTGCAGTATACTTCATGTTGCACTATAAAGCCCGGGCTCAAGTCCTAATCTGGTTAATGTGGTAGAATTGAGGCAGTTAAGAAGCTTTTAGAGGCAGTCATCTGACATTGACAGCAGAAGATTCAGGCAACACCTTAATGGACTCTAATAGGATTTTACTGCAAAATTTCCTATAAAAAGAAATTGTGCTGCTGTGTACCATGATTCTTAGTAGGATTTGGCTATCAATCAAAAGTGAATTTATCCTTGCTTTTGTTGGGATGTGATTTCCACCATGTTACTGTGTCTCCCTCTTCCTATAGACCATTAATGCTATGGATTCCAAGATGAAGAACTTGGAGCAGCGCATCGCTGAGCTGTCAGAGGCTAACAAGCTTGCCGCTAACAGTAGCATTTACACCCAGAAGAATATGTGAGTTAACTAGACCTTCTGCCCACAGAGTGCTTTTATGAGTGCACCCACACTGACTCCTTGAGCCTCCAATTACCTCATTAGTGTGCACGTGCGTCTTTGAGCACCATGTCTGATCTGTCTCCCCTGTGTGTAAACAATGTTTAATCAACCGTATCATCTCTTAGCTTAAAGAGGCTGTAATCGATATTTTTATAATAGCAAAATCAAATGATAATGTAAAAATAATGTGAAAGGGCTCACTCATGATGATGAACCTAGGGAGAATTATCTCCTGACCCTGCAGCTCCCCTCAGCTTTGCTATGCTTTACAGCCACTGTACACTACCTGCTCAACACTAAAAACAGATAGACACAGTTATCAACCAGCTGGGGTGCATAGTAGCAGCTAAAGAATCAGATATTTCCAGGCCAAAAACACTTAAAGAGAGTGAATATTGTATTTACATTCATCAGATGGTCAGAAACACCACTTCAAGTGAATACAAATGTTGCTCGATAACTGCTGGATGTTTAAATAAGCAACTGTTTGCTAACAAGTTCGCCATATTAACTTAAAAGGTTTCATTGTTTTGTTTACAACTTGTGTCCCAGGTTTTTTTGCCCCTAAGTGGCCAAAAAAATACAGAAAATGCAGCTTCAACTAATTTTAACATAGAAATGTCATCACCTGAATTTACAAGGTTTTGTTTACTCAGTGAATGACCTACAGTTTATTGGGTGTCTTGTTAATCTAAGCTATTTTCTAAAATCTAAATGTTTTTATATGTTGAATAAATGCTATGAGACTCGGCAGAAGTTTTTGAAAGATGTCTACTTCAAAATAGGCACTGTAATAGCCATCTGTGTGTATATTTTTGTCAGGAAAGCCCAGGAGGAGATGATCTCAGAGCTTCGCCAGCAAAAGTTCTATTTGGAGTCTCAGGCAGGCAAGCTGGAGGCCCAAAATGCCAAACTGGAGGAGCACCTGGAGAAGATGAGTCAGCAGGAGCAGACCAAGAGGACCCGGCTGCTGGAGCTGGAGAGTAGGCTGCGGGAGGTGAGGCAACAGGAAGCAGAGACATGACTCAAAATCTGTTGGCTCAAGATTAAGTAATTCACTTTAACTAGCACACAGTGTAGCCTTACATTATTACTATCCACAAAAGGGATTAAGGCAGCTGATCAGCCAGCAAGCTCAGATCCCTTTCAGATAAACTGCTAATTAAATATGGTAGGTATATAAAGGCACCACTATAAAGTTGCCATTGGGCCTGTACACAAGCTGCACCGAATGGTCCAGCAGAGCCGACAGACTTCATTTGTTATTTTTGGAATAATGTGATGTGACAATATGTTTAACCACATCAAAATAAAGCAGGCCAGTGTTGCATGCATGAATAGTTTACCCATAAACTGGAGGGCAGGGGTTAAAGAGTCCCCGTGATGTCAAGCATCCACCCTGCAGAAGTATCCTTAAGCAAGGTGCTATATCAGCTCTGCAGTTTGACCTCCCTGTGAAAGCTTCATAATTGTGAAGACTGTTTGTTTACTAGATTCTATAAAGTCGAACACTGATACACTAAAGTTAATTAAAGAAGAAAATGGCTGTTTTTTAGATGTCTGGCAGTCAGTGCATCACTCTAGAGTTAGACGTTTTAAAGTACATAATGTTTCTTCACCGCTCTGAGAAATGCACCACAAAATCCATTATCTATACTGCATCCAATGTGAGCCTATTCTATAAAAAGAAGTTTTGACATAATTGAGAACCACAGCCCCCCTTTCTCCTGCTCGAGAGCTCTCACCCCCTGGTGTGCTGTCTGCTGATGTTACTGGTGAACAACCTGCTGACTGGATGTCACATCTCTACCTCCACACACTCTTTCCCACTGAGACGTGGTACACAGATTGGCACTAATTGTTGGCCTTTCTGCACCCTCACACACACACACACACACACACACACACTCTGTCCTCGCTCACAAACAAATATGTCCTTTGAGATGAGAGATCCATCTCAGTAATAGTCAGAAACCTGGAGGGTTTGGAGTAGCTAAATGCACCCTTGTGTGTTGCAACTTTACTTTGTTTGTGGACTCTCACCAGCACAGGTTTGAAAAGGTCTTTATTTTTTGGTCTTAACAACTATAACACTTTAAATCCATTACCAGAGTTTTTATTTTAGAAACCTAAAGTACACTTTTTGGTTTCTCTGTGCTGTTTAATTTTTGTTTTGTTTTCTTCATTTCTGTATCTGCTAGTTGGACTCGTCTCCTCTGACATCCTCTAATTATTTTCCTTTTGTCTTTTTTCTTATACTGCCCATTCAGCTTGTATTACTGCATATCAATTGGATACTTTTTTAGCTTTGTTCCATTACTTTGTTCTTTTAATTAGGGATGCACCGATCCGACTATTTCAGTCCCGATACTGAGACCAATACTTTGGGCTTTCGGTGTCGGCCGATGCTGAGTACCGATCAAATACCAGTGTAAAATTATAATAATATTCCTCACTGTGAGGAAGAGACTGTGCAAGGCAACACCAGGCTTGACTTAAGCATTGCTTCCTAACTTTGTAAAACACCTATATTAGCTCTCCTAGCAAAATGTTCTGGTCTACCAGCACACTGCTGATGCAACACGTTGGATGTTCATAATTGAAGTGCATAGATTGACCCCACTGTCACCGATACCCAATCGAGCTACTTGAGTCAGTATCGTGCCATTATCTGTTATCACTATTGGATAGGTGGATCTCTACGTTTAATTGGTCTTAAATTTCTGATGGCATTAAAAAAGTTCCTCAAATGTCTTGAATTTTGCTTATTGAATGCAATGGTACCAGTTTTAACCAGTTTTTAGATTCCCTCTAATTTATGAATCACGCTGCTGTCCTAAAACGCCTCCCATCTGGTGCTCTGAGCAGGTTTTTTTTTTAAAATGCTGAAAATTATATGCAAATACAATCTGTTTCGGGGTTTTTTTCTACTGTGATTTGCACACAGCATTCACCCTAGTCCTGTTTCATTGTAGATGGGCCTAGAACATGAAGAAGAGAAGCTGGAGATCAAGAGACAAGTGTCAGAGTTGACCCTCTCTCTGCAGGAGCGCGAGTCCCAGATTAGCAGCCTGCAGGCTGCTCGTCTTGCCCTGGAGAGCCAGCTGCAACAAGCTAAAACTGAGCTGGAGGAGACCACCGCTGAGGCTGAGGAGGAGATCACTGCCCTTAGGGTAAGACAAACACGTTCAAGCACATATGTGTGCAATAAGAGTCACTCATAGACATACAGGTGCACATATGTTCAGCACAATATATAGTTATATGTAGTAGGCAATCTGTGCATGTTATGCATGCAATATGAAGGAAAGTTCATGTTATTTTTTCAGTTTATTTTGAATAATGCTGTCAGCAATATCTCATTGTTCATCATTCTATGTAGCAGTTAGATGTGGTTGAAGTTTTGCTCTGCATTTGTTTCTCACAGAATCACAGAGATGAAATTCAGCGCAAGTTTGATGCTTTGAGAGACAGCTGCTCAGTAAGTGCTGACACTGCCTTTTAAAAATATGGGGATTTATTATCTAAACTCTAAAAGTTCATTATTTACACACATACATTTACTGTACCTAAATGGTGACATGAATAACATGTAGATGGATAACAGTAATGCAAAACTTAACAAGTCACCTCCTTCAACTTTGAAATAAAACATCATTTGAGATTTCATTTGATATTTGACCTATTTAATTTAATAACTCCTACATGGCAAAAATGTATCTCTTTGTGGTGGGATTTGGGAAATAACTTCACTATCTGAGTGTACACATTAATTAGTGTGATTGTAAAGCTGTAAATGTTCAGTAGCCCAGCTGTACTATTGATTATTTCCCCCTGGCTTTCCTGGCCTAAAAAACATCCTAAAATATCTGTTCACTTCCATATGGCTAACACCTCTACCTGTTTACTTTGCCTCAGGTGATCACAGACCTGGAGGAGCAGCTTACACAGCTCAGTCAGGAGAATGCGGAGTTGAACCGCCAGAACTTCTACCTGTCCAAACAGCTTGATGAAGCATCAGATGAGAGGGAGGACCAGCTACAGCTCAGCCAGGAAGTGGACAGGCTGAGGAGAGAAGTGGCGGACCGCGAGATGCATCTCAACAACCAGAAACAGGTAACACACATTAATACACAAACGCTTGAAAGCTCTTGAACATAATTAACTGTAAAGCTGTAACTTAGTAGATATTGTTGAAAGGTAAATATATTGTTGACAGTTGAAATTATTTTAGTGTATTATGTTTCAGCAAGGCATTGGTCTGTAACAAGTCAAGCTGCGTTTTTAACCTTATTTATCCCCGTGTTCTAGATCAAAAATGGCCTGAGATATCATGTAGCGTTTAAGCATCAAGTGAGACTGTCTGTTGTGACTGAAAATGCAGGGGAGACGACGATCACGTGGTTTCGCCCAAAAGCTGTGAAAGATGTTCTCTTCAGTCTGCTGTTTCGTTTATCCTCCCAGAACATTGAGACACTGAAGACCACATGCAGCATGCTGGAGGAGCAGGTGGTGGAGCTGGAGTCCCTAAACGATGAGTTGCTGGAGAAGGAGAGGCAGTGGGAGGCTTGGAGAGGCGCCCTGGAGGATGAAAAAAGCCAAGCCGAGAGACGCACCAGGGACCTGCAGAGACTGTTGGACAATGAGAAGCAGAACAGGTAACATACATGTACATACATACTATGTCATTCCATATATAGAGTAGTGTGTGCAGGTGTGGGAAAAATACTGGAAAGTAAGAATTGACATATTAATAGATTATGTTTATCAATCAACAAAATGCAAATTGAGGGAACAGAAGAAAAATCTAAATCAAATCAGTATTTGGTGTGACCAACCTCATTCTGACCAAATCCCAAAGTCAGTTTGCAGAAATGTAGCCCCAAACTTCACCACGCTTCACTGTTGCCCGAGACACCCATTCTTGTACCACTCTCCAGCCCTTCTGTGAAAAGCCTTGTGCTGCAGCTAAATTTTTTTAATTTTGATTCATCAGTCCAGAGCACCTGCTGCCATTTTTGTGCGCCACAGTTCCTTGAGCCGCTTGGCCTTGTTTCCATGTCAGAGGTTTGGCTTTTTGGTCACACCAAATATTGATTTCATTTTGTATTTTGTTAATTTATAAATATGAAATCATTCATACTTTACAGCATTTTTTCCTACACCTGCCTAAAACCTTTACACTGTACTGTACGTCAAAATGTATTGCTATTGTAAGACTTGGTATTGTGCTTTTCACAGGGTGCGTGCGGACCAGCGCAGCACTGAGTCTCGCCAGGCAGTCGAACTGGCAGTCAAAGAGCACAAGGCTGAGATACTGGCCTTACAGCAGGCCTTGAAGGAACAGAGACTTAAGGCTGAAAGTCTGTCTGATACTGTGAGTCACAAGCGTTTGTGTGTCTTATTTATGATCTAACTTTAACCCAGTCTTCAGTCCTTTTAAGTTAAACAAGAAATATTTCTTTGCATTCTGAGAGAGGAAATCCGTACTGTGTTTGTAGCTGTGGAATTCAACTTTTAGATGATTGAACACACACATGTTCCCACAGCTCAATGATCTGGAGAAGAAGCACGCCATGCTGGAGATGAACGCCCGCAGCTTACAGCAGAAACTGGAGACAGAGAGAGAACTGAAACAGCGGCTGATGGAAGAGGTGAAGAAGTGAAATGCGACCTCATAAACAGACACCTGTATTCATTAAATTTAAGTTACATTTATGTTATAGATTTGTCCCTCTCAACTCCTTCATTCAAAAACATGAAACCAAGGAGACCATTTTTAGCCAACTTTCAACACTTCGCTAAAATGGTCTCCTGTTTGGCCTGTTGAAGACGCATTTTCTCTTAATTAAAATTGCTAAAATTCTGAAATGTGGCTGATTTCCTTATTTGAATATCTGTGTGCTGTTGTCCCCACAGCAAGGGAAGCTGCAGCAGCAAATGGACCTCCAAAAAAGCCACATATTCCGTCTGACCCAAGGCCTGCAGGACGCCTTGGACCAGACCGACATGCTCAAGACTGAGCGGACCGATCTTGAGTACCAGCTGGAGAATATACAGGTGTTTAATGCAATACCTTTGAAATTTGAAGTACAGAAATACAGTGGTCTCTCGGGAGAAAGAGTCCTAGTTAGGTATTAGAATAATGCGACTGATGTTGGCAAGTAACAAGGTATCTCAGGGGGGACCAAGGGATAGAGGAATCCTAATTCATGTGTCTCAAAGGGAATTCTTTAAATGTTTTTTCAGAGGTGTTCCCTTCTCTGAAGATCTGCTTTCCTTCCTGCAGGCTGTATACTCCCATGAGAAGGTGAAGATGGAGGGGACCATCTCCCAGCAGACCAAACTTATTGACTTCCTCCAGGCCAAAATGGACCAGCCCACCAAGAAAAAGAAGGTCTGTTAAAACATATTAGATTGATAAACAGCTTCTATCTACATTTAAAAATGAGTATTGTACTGCTCTTACATAGTATTAGTAACATGTTCCCTATCTAAACAGGGTATATTCGGGCGGCGGCGTGAGGATGTAGGCACCACGACTAATGGAGCTCTGGCTCCACAGGCCCAGCCAGCGGTTCCCATGCAGTACGGTGACATGAAACTGGCTTTGGAGAAGGAGCGCTCAAGGTGCGCAGAGCTGGAAGAGGCTCTGCAGAAGATGAGGATAGAGCTACGATCCCTCAGAGAAGAGGGTAGGTCTTAGTGTTAGTCCCAGATTTGAGACAGGCTTGACACCTTATGCCATGCCTTGGCAGCAAAGAATGAGCTGATACTCTGTAGCTGACCCTTGATTATCATCCTTCCATAGAGGGAGGCAAAATTTCTTGTGATAAACAATCCCTGGTCTGTGAAACAGAGTGCAAAGTGTTGATTTAACTCTGGTAGTCATAATTTTTCATCATAAAGGTCCATCTGAGATGAGAAATGACAACCTAAGTCAGCTCAGGAAATCCTGTGTTGTGCCTCCTCCCAGACATATTTTAACAGAGTTGCCATGGCAGCATTTTACTCCATTACCTACACATGCCAAGAACTATGAGATTATTTTTTTATATTCAGAATCTGTTAGTTCAGTTTTTTGGTAATGGACTTAGTATTTCCATCTTAATAGCTCTGATCTAATAGTAGATGGTTTTATTTATTTATGTTGATACAGCGGCTCATTTCAAAGCCCAGGAACATGTGGCTCCTTCCACGCCAGCCCAGGCTCGACACCAAATCCTCATGTCAGCCATTGTCAAATCCCCAGAACATCAACCCAACCCCAGCAGCCTGCTCAACCCCTCCACCCGCTGCAAGGAGACCGCCACACCTGAAGGTTAGTCACACGCACTAACACACACTGAAAGAGAGACTAATAAACATAGGTAAACTCGAGGCTGTCCCCAGCCCTAACAGCCTCAGTAGGTTTTCTAGTTTTGAAGCTGTAGAGTTTTCCCCCATAGGTGTATTCGCCCTTATGCTATCAGTGTCAACACAAATTGACTCTCTGTTCACTTATTTTGTTTATGTGGTGTGTTTGTGTGTGTGTGTTCTTTCTATGGCCTGTCTCATAAAGCAGGATTATAATGTTAAAGTTTGATAACTGTGCTCAGTACATGTTAAACCTGGGTCTTGCTCCAAACCAGGGACATGGACTGAAGTTTTACTCACTGTGCATTTATCCAGCTAACTTTGTAATCCTGCTTGGGCCTGTATCACAAAGTACAAATAGTGAATTAGCCAGGTAACATTGGTTTTAATACGGGCTTTCCGCTGTCAGAATGCTAAATTACCTTTTCTATGGGGTTGATCACCATGGAAACTGAATCGCTGAACTGCTGCATATATCATAGCTGTGTAGCAGGTTCAGTGGATCACATCAAAAGCCCGTCTAAAAAAATTGAATAACAATTATAAAAAGGATCCTCCACTGACAAAAAGACTGCATTAATATTAAAGTCTTGTTATAAAAAGCCTCAGAAATTATCTTATAGACCAACTGGATCCAATACACGACATCAGAAGCTGTAATAGCGTAATTTTATCAGGCACACGTTTGGATAACAGTAGCCTAAGTTGAACTTTGTGATTCAGGCCCCTGACTGTCTGTGTTTCTTTGCTTTCACATAGCTATTGTTAGACTGCTCTCTCCTTTCTGTCTCTTTCCTCTTGCTCCTCACAGAAAAGAGGAGGGTCACCTTTGAAAGTAAGTTAGCAGTCATCACAACGCGTCTTCTCACATGCATGAGCTCATCGACATGCATGTAACATGTACACACATTCTCATAAACTGTACATCTGTCTTATTGTCCTATTGTCAAGCTTTAACTTGGCCAAATCTTTTATTTTTATAGGTCGAGTGTGATGTGATGTACTCCTCCTTTTTTTTTTTATTTCTTTTTTTTTCCTGCATTGTTCCTGGAATCATAATTTAGATTTAGCATATCGTTGGATAGATAGCTTTTCACCCAGAAACATTTTATTGCATGCCATGGTCACTGGCATTCATAATCTGAGTCTGACATTAGTACACTTGAATATTGATGTGCCAAATACCTGAAATTAGAAATAATTCATACATTATTCAAATTGCCCCATGCTGCTTGAGAAAACTTAATCTCATGGACGTAGCTGGCTTTTGAAGCGATTTAAGCCACAAAATATTACGGTGTCATATTTCTCTTTCAGTAACTCCTATCCCTGCCCACTTCTCCTTCCAATTTTGCAATTGCAGAGTTCGGCCGTCGTGTGAAAGAGAGAATGCACCACAACATCCCTCATCGTTTCACTGTGGGCCTCAACATGAGGGCTGCCAAGTGCGCCGTCTGCCTGGACACTGTGCATTTTGGACGACAGGCTGCCACTTGTCTAGGTTTGTATGCTGCACTGTAGCGGGGAGCTCTGAATGTGAAGATATTCCTGAGGACACATTTATTGGCCAGTCTTGGCAAAAATTCTAGTGTTAAATACTAATAGTTCTTGTAGCGAGGCCATCACATTAGTCTCTTTCACATGGTGGAATCAGATTTGTTTCGTTTTGGCTATCATTAAAACTCCTACTGTTCTGGAAAAGAAAAATATGCGATTTTGATACATTCCCAAACCAACAGTGTAGAGACGCTGTGAAAGCACATCTGAAAAACACAGTAGGCGTCCTCCTGTTATCGTCAGTTATTGTCATAACAACATCAATAAAAATGATGATGGGTATTTGTATACTTTTATTGTGAGAACCCCTACCACTCTGCTTCTGCTCTTTCAACAATGCAATTGCAGTTTTAACGCTTCTCTGAAAGAGCTTTAATTAAACCCAAATTGGCATGTTTTCACCCCCCTCTCTTTGCTGTATTATAGAGTGCCACACCCTGTGTCACCCTAAATGCTCACCATGTCTCCCGGCAACCTGCGGTCTGCCAGCTGAGTATGCCACTCACTTTTCAGAGGCTCTGTGCCGAGAAAAGGCAAACTCTCCTGCGCTGCAGGTCAAAGAGGCCAGTGGGCATGTTCGATTGGAGGGATGGATGAAGCAGCCTAGGTAACCTCTGACCTCAGTGCCTTATGACCATACTGACCACGTATCATTAGTCCCCCCCCCCCCCCCAGCTTTGACAATAATGTGCATTTGTGTGTTTGCTGATGCAGAAACGGCAAGCGTGGTCAGCAGGGCTGGGAAACGAAATATGTTGTGCTTGATGGAACCAAAGTATCTATCTATGATACCGAACCCAGAGAAGGTCAGTACTTCATTTTTTGAATGGCTATATTTTCATTGGTAATAGAAAAATACATTTTAAACTTGACAGAACGTCGCTGATTCCTTATTGAGACAGTTTGTATTTATATTACCATGTAGATCAATACAGCAGTGTCCAATTAAAAACCTCATGTGGTGTTTTTCTTCTAGACTGTATAAAAGCTGAGGAGGAGTTTGAGCTCTGTCTGCCTGATGGAGAGGTGACCGTTCATGGAGCTGTTGGAGCTTCTGAGCTCATCAACACTGCCAAGTCAGGTGCTGGATCAATACCACCTAATCCTGCTACTCTCCGCCTATTGTAGGATTTTAAGTGGATCATCCTCTCCCCAAATTTTAAATTGGATCACATGCCCCATTTATACTTCTAATCTAACTATACAACAAAACGGACAGTTCTGCTCAACTGCGAAATGACGCTGTTAGCAAGATAGCCAACCAATCCGTCTTTCTGTGTGAATGCAGACATCCCGTATGTGTTGAAGCTGGAGTCACATCCACACACCACCTGCTGGCCAGGACAGTCCCTCTACTTCATGGCTCCCAGCTTCCCTGACAAGCAGCGCTGGGTGGCTGTACTGGAGTCTGTGGTGGCTGGTAGCCGTGGATCTAAAGACAAAGTAGATTCTGATGCTGTAAGTATTTAGTGTGTGTATATATATATATATATATATATATATATATATATATATATATATATATATATATATATATATATATATATGTATTTTTCTGATTTCTTTCAAAATTCAGAATTTGGCTCTCAGATATGTAAGAAAGACAGCCCAGTCTCACTTATGCACATTTCAAATAGTAACTTTTTCCAAGGGTGGCTGTATTGTTTGGTGTGAAATATATTGAATGCCTCCATTAAACATCAGCCAGTGCCTTCACTTCTTTTTTTCCCCCTCCCTCTTCTTTCTCTCTCTCTGCATGTTCTCACCATCTACGTCTCCTATTTATATGTTGTCATCGTCTTTTGTTGATGTGATTATACTGTGCGTGTGTATCTCCATTCAACTCGGTTGTGTGGATCATATTATAGGCAGGTGGTTCTAAAAGACAGAAGAACCTATCCCCTCTGGTTCAGGTACAGTAAGTAGCTGCACGAACGCTTGGGCTTCAGTCGACCGACCGACTGAGCATGCAGTAGCTGTGCACATCTACGCATACAACACTGATGCTGTTCAGTGCAGGTCAACACAGAAGTCACTTCCCTGTGGAAAACGGCTGCATTCAGTGGTCAAACACATTATTTATACCATACACTCATAAACTTACATAGTGCATGGATGTGAATAGGCACTGCTGTGCACCTCTGGCCTGGTTTCATGTACTGTGTCATGCATGCTTCTGCAAAAGCCATGCACTGCCAGCTGCCCCCTACACTGGAACATGACAGAGACATGTACACACTGAGTTTAACTTCACTCTTTGGGCTACTGATGTTGGTGTTTGTGTGTATATTGCTGTTTTAGAAGCAGCAGCGTCTCCAAAAAGTGTTACCCCTGCCCTGCTAATTGTTAAACACAGACATGCATACATATTTCCCTAGTCCAAACATGGGTAATAATGAGCTCTGCACAAGTCAGTCAATTAAGTAACTGGGAAAAACGTTTCTTTATGGACCTTGCTTTGTGCACAAGGACACTGTCATGACGGGACTGAAGGATTCAGTATATTATCATATGCATTAAAATGCCACCAGCACATTTTCATACAATGAAAACTGTATGCCCTGGCTGCTGTATACACAGTATACAGTTGCTATTACACACACACACACACACACACTATAGTGTTACAGTATTAGTACAGTACATAAAAAAATAAATAAAAAAATAGAACAATAAGCACAGTGGGTAGTAGCTACCTGCCCCTGTCCCCTGCCTGGACGCTACGATATCACTTACCTAATGGTAGCACTAAAAATAAGAGACGGCCTGGATAAGTGTTATCCAAAAGGCCTTCTCCAAACTATTACCACAATGTTTGAATCCCGTTATCGTCTAAAATAATATAAAATGTTGTAGCATTAATGTTTACGTTAACTGGAATTGAGTGGTCCAAACCAAGAAAAACGGCCCCTGACCAAAAGTACACAAAAGTATGTGGATATTTTTCAACCGAGTCAATTTCACACTGCAGCGCTTGCCACTTATCATAATTAGCTGTCTAGCATAAAACTGTCATCCATACTGAATGGTCTGAGGATCCATAAAGTTTTGAATGCTGACAATAAATAAAAAAGGCAGTGCCCGTGTGAAATACTTTACATGCTATTATGTTGTTAACTGTTTTGTATGGACACCCAGAAAACGGTTATACAGATTTTAACATGCTGACGGAATTGTGTGTGCAACACTGAGCATTGGAAACCGTCGAGTTCTAAATCAAATGCTTCGTCAGTTCCTATTCTTGTTTACTATCTTCTTTGATTTAGTTAAATCAAAGAGCATTAAATTTATCTTTTAAATTATTTTATTTAGCCAAACGTCTTTTTACAGCTGTTTCTGTTAAGAAAATATTATGTTTGACATATTTGGGATCTATTAAATTAAATATTTTTGTGTGTGTGGTCAGGAGAAAATATGTCAGTGGTCTGGTGCAGACATCCTCAGCTTACATGTGAATTTAATTTATTAATAATGAAGGATGTATTCAGTAATTCAGATAATTGGTAATGGCTTTCTGGCTGTCATCCTTGCTGGCTCACCTTTTCTTGCTCTAAAGCAACCGATATGTAGAAGAACGGCCTAACCTGCCCCCCCCCTCTTGCTCCATGTCTCACTCTCTTGTCTGAATAGAAACTCCTGGGCAATTCTCTGCTGAAGCTGGAGGGTGATGACCGTTTAGACATCAACTGCACTCTGCCTCTCACTGACCAGGTACAAAGACAAAAACATGTAACATCTACAGAAACTCTCCGCCTATGTAACTTAAAATGAGTGAGCCAGTGGCGGCAGTGTGTTGTGTGAGGAGTCGGTCAAACGTGTCTTCTCAGTTAGACAGTCTTTCTGAATCCTGCACCATTTTGCTGCTTGTTTCCCATATTAAGCTCTTATGATCTAGCTTATTCTTTCCCTTAGATCGTGTTGGTTGGCTCTGAGGAGGGTCTGTATGCTCTAAACGTCATAAAGAACTCTTTGACCCACATCCCTGGGCTGGCCTCCGTCTTCCAGATCCAGATCCTGAAGGAGCTCGATAAGCTGCTGATGATCACTGGTCAGTACATGAAGTAAAATGAATGCTATTGTACTCAGTAATTTTAATTCTCTTATGTCCACACAAGCTAATATTTTTAAGACTAATGCGTTATTCACTCAGTAAAGCTTTGGTTATATTGACAAATCATTTATTATAATATATTTATATCTTAATATCTGTATCTTCGAATTGCATTTATACATAGCATCACTTTTTTTTTGTGTGTGTGTAAGGAAACCGTACCTTTCTGGTTGTTTCCATTGTCATTTCCATGGACACAGTGAATCAAATAGGCTGCACAGACACCATGAAAATGGAATTAACTATTTTCAACTCATTTTCAGTTCTTATTTATTAATGAGACTAAAAAAACACGGGGGAACAATAATATAATATTATTCAATTTCAATATGTTGATGGAAAAGATGCGTATAGGTAGCACTTAATCTAAACAGGAGATTGCATGTGTTTCTGATTGTCCGTGTTGCGTTTGCTATGTCCAGGAGAGGACAGGGCCTTGTGTCTAGTGGAGATCAAGAAGGTGAAACAGTCTTTGTCACAGTCCCATCTCCCAGCTCAGCCTGACCTCAGCCCCTTCATCTTTGAGACAGTCAAGGGATGCCACCTCTTCTCCTCTGGAAAGGTGGGTTAGGTTGTTGTTACTTATACAGAGAAAAAAAGTCCTTCTAATTAGACTATTATTTAGTCAGAGTTAATGAGCTGAACATAGCACCGGTAGCATAGCAGTGTGCTGTCTGATTACCGCTGTCCTGATTACAGTCTTGTTCTTTCTTTACAGATTGATAATGGGACCTGTATCTGTGCTGCTATGCCCAATAAGATTACAATTCTGCGACACAATGAAAACCTGAACAAGTTCTGCATCCGAAAGGTGAGTTGGCCTTTTAAAGAGAAGATGGATGACTACACGAAGGAAAAGGCAGTGCTTTGTGGCAAAAGACACTTGCTTTGTTTTGCTTCAAGGAGTAATGAGGTTGAAGAAGTGTTGAACTTTTGTTTTGTGGTGGCAGGAGATTGAGACATCAGAGCCCTGCAGCTGCATCCACTTCACTGGCTACAGTATCATTATCGGGACCAACAAGTTCTATGAGATTGAGATGAAGCAGTATGTGCTGGAAGGTAGGTCACCCACCGCTGTGATGTATTTATAGTAGGCATCGGCACACAAATCCTGTATTGATATTACATTTTAAAATAATATTTTTCAGTCAACCAGATGGTGTTCTAATCAAGTCTACTCAATTGTGATTCTGTTGCTGTGAGGTTTCAACATTCACACACCTGTATGAGATGACTGATATTGATTTCTTTTTGCAGAGTTCCTGGATAAAAACGACGTGACGCTAGCTTCAGCTGTCTTCGCCGCGTCCTCCCACAGCTTCCCCATCTCCATCATCCAGGTCACCACGGCTCCACAGAAAGACGAATATCTCCTCTGTTTCCATGGTTAGAAGTAAATTTCTCTTTGTGGCAACACTTTTACAGCATGTTGTGTCAACACATGTAGCAGTTAAGGAGCCAGAATTTAACAGTTTGATAAATGTGCGTTTTATTCTGTTCTGTTCCATGTATTCTGACAGCTCTCTGTAAAAGGTATAGTTTGGGATTTTTGAAGTGAAGGCTGCATGAGGTACTTATCCATAGTAGGTTATCTATACGTTTTGCTGCTGACCCTGTCCACAGCAGTAAGTTGCTTAGCTTCTGTGCTGGTACAAATTTCTGTTTCTCCAAACTGAGAACGCACAGACTGCCATCGTCTGCAGTAAATACACTGACAACGGAGTACCTCATGCATTTAAAAAATCTTGAACTATCCTCCTATGATACATTTTTCTTTCAGAGTTTGGTGTATTTGTGGATGCATACGGCCGCAGGAGTAGAAGCGATGATATCAAATGGAGCCGCCTGCCTCTCTCATTTGGTTAGTGTAAATCAGAATTTCTTCCATGTCCAGGTCTTCTTTTTTCCCCCCGATGGTCCATTTATGATTTATGATCTGATGTGGATTTTGGGTATTTCAGCCTATAGAGAACCCTACCTGTTTGTGACCTACTTCAACTCTCTGGACGTTATTGAAATTCTGGGACACGCTGCTCTGGGGTAAGATAGCCTTCTGCTCCTTTGTCTTGTACTGACTAACTGATGCACTTTGTACTAGTGCATAAATAAGGGTTTACACTAAAGTTTTTCCCAGCAAAATCATTTTATGGATATTCACTTAGTGTTATTGTACACCATTAGTGCCAGGGCTCATAAAATACCTACACAAGGATCATCCCTTTCATTCAGCTGTTTTAAAGGATACAGTGCCTAATGTTCTTTGCAGGCCCCATTCATACGCACACCTGGATATCCCAAATCCACGCTACCTTGGCCCAGCCATCTCCTCTGGGGCCATCTACCTGGCCTCTTCCTACCAGAACAAACTACGGGTCATTTGCTGCAAGGGCAACCTGGTCCAGAGCCAAGAGGGTGTTGGAGACCTGCAGCGAAATGGCTCAGGACGCAGGTGAGGACATACACTATTTGTTTGACCTGATTCAGGTCACACTTTCTGTCTGTTCCATTCTCTTAATGAACCAGTTTACACCATTACACTTAACCAAAATAATCTCTGTTTTGGGTATTAGTTTGGTGACACAGTCAATCCACAACAAGCTTTCAACTTTACTTTTCCTGCTTTTTATGTCACCACACATTTAGAGCTAAAAAAATATCAACACTAAAGATGAACAATTCATCATTTTCAAACCATACCCATCCCTATTCATGATATCATCACCTTCATCTTCCATTTTCTATTTTCTGTAATTGTGGAGACCAAATCTAATGTGGGAAATACATCAACAAATGTAATGCTCAACCACATTAAAATAAATGAATGAATAAATTAACAGAATGCACAAATAAATTGCAAACCCAATCCATATCTCTGTATTATACATTATCCCATGTCTTAATTTGTCTAGTGATGGAAACAGATGACCACTGAGTGGAAATGAATTCTGCTAAAGGAAATCATGAGTTGAAAGTAAAAGATAAATACAAATGTGTGCATTTTCTGTGCTTAATTATTCATTTCTCAGTTTACTTGAGCATCTGACTTAATTTATTTTTTGGTGAGGTTTGGTCTTCCCTATTATTCAGAGACCATAGAGTAGGAGCATTCCTCACACTGCACTCCTTTATTACATGTACACTGGTGGTGTTGAAGGGTCTATGGGACTAGCTGGCAATGCTGGGGACCGGTTGGCATCCACAGGTGATGATGGTTAAAAAGTGGCCTTTATGTTTGATCTGGTTATAAAACAAAAGGGTAATGCCTTCATTTTGCTCTTTACAGGAGGAGGTGTTCACTTTTTATCTGTAGCAAATCCTGAGATATGTCTTTTGAAATTAAAATACATTTTTAAAATGTTTCTTGTCAAATGTAGAAAGGAAATTGTTGAATAAAGACATCCTCCCTTTATGACCTGAGACTGGTCTATTATATATTATATAATTGAAGCTCACAGTGCGGATTTTGAAAACTACCTTTGCAGGCCAGTCAAAGCTTTTTTCTTTAGTTACTGTTGTCAGCCACTGACCACCAAATCAGGTAGATGGGTTCACTCTGTTCTAATTATAGAGCCGGAATTGTGAAATCAGCGTGTCTTGTAGTCCCATGTGATATGACACAGAAATAACAAATAAACAAACTAATAGCAATGCATGACAGCTTGTCAAATGAGCTTGATTGTGAGTCCATCATCCTCACCACATCTGTTGACTGACCTGACCGTGTCAAGCAAAGCCCATGACCCGAGACCCGAGTAACCATTTCCTTTGACCTATGCTCCCTGCCCGTCTTTTTGCCTCGGCTCCTCCCTAACAGCCCTAACAAGCGTGGTCCTCCTTCCTACAATGAGCACATCTCAAAAAGGCTGGCAGCCAATCCCCTAGTTCACGGAGATCCCGGCACACCTCACCGCTACCGAGAGGCTCGCACAGAGTTTCGAAGGGACAAGTCCCCCAGCCGTCCACTCGAGAGAGAGAAGTCTCCTGGCAGAATGCTGGAGAGTCGGATAGTGGGGTCTCCAGGCAGGGCCATGGCTGACCCCCGCTTAGAGCGCTCGCCGGGCAGGGCCATGGCAGACCCTCGAATGGACCGCTCTCCTGGCCGGATGATGGACGTTCGTCGGGAGAGGTCCCCCGCACGATTCGAAGAGCGCCAAAGGCTTCACACTGGCTCTGGTCGCACACCCATAAACCCAGTCAACAAGGTTTGTCAATCAGTTTTGTTGACTTTTACTATTTATTACTCCACAGTTGCTGTATGAATTGATACACTACTACTCAGTTACACTACTATACAATTACTCACAGCCCACCGCTTTGGTCCACACTTAATACCTGTAAGACTATTTGTTGAATTGTCATGATATTTTGTGACATTCATGGTCCCCAGAAGATACATTCTGATGACGTGATATTGATCCTCTGACTTTTCCTTTAGCACTACTAACAGGTTGACATTTGTGATTTTTGTGACATGTTTTGACAATTACTGGATGAATTGTCATGAAATTTGGTACATATATTTATGGTTCCCAGAGGGGGAATCCAAATGACTTTGATGATCGCTTTACTTCTCCTGCAGCAGGTTCATATTTCTGGTTTTGAGTGAAATGCCTCAACAACTATTAGGTGGATTGCTGTGAAGTTTGCTGCAGGTATTCAAAGTCTTCAGAGGATCAATTCTAATAACTTTGGTGATCCCCTGATTTTTATAATCTAGCTACATCGTCACGTCAAACTTTCTGTATGTCTTATACTGTAGTTGATGAGTATACATTTATATATTATTGTATGTTTTGTTTTTTATTTTCAGTTAGCATATTTCAATCTAACAGTCTACCTGCTGCTTCATGCATGTGCATGTATTAACCTGACTTTGGTTACGACGTTATGCTACAGGTATGGGACCAATCATCTGTTTGAGAGACAGCAGAGCCACATACCCGGACGAGAAATTCATCTTCAGAAAGGGAAAGAAGGCAGCAGAGATCCAGTGAGAATGTCACCAACTCATGATGAAACACTGCCACACATAAGTTTTGCCTGACATCAGAGCTGACAAGCACACAGAGGGAAACAACTGTAGCCATCAGAACAGGGAGAGGACGAGAGAAATAAAAGATGTCATTAGAATCAGGTTATTTTTCTCAATGAACTGTCCCGAGTACATAAAGGTTAACAAAACGGCATATTTAACAAATGTTTCACTTCTTCAAAAGCAAGATCTGGGATGCGAGTTCTCAACTTTAGACCTGACTCGATGGGTTTTGCTTGTTTCAGTTAACTCCAGACAGTAGTGACTATGATAAATAAGCACAGCCATAGCAACGTTATCTTATCCGTAAGTCAATGCCTAAATATTTACAAAGTCAGTCACTAGTGAAAATGGTTCACTCAAAATAGTCTTAATACAACTGGCTCCTGCCTGCACTCAGCTCTGTCCACAGTAGCTACAGATCTCAAATGTACATCTAGTGTACATTTAATAGCATTTCTGGCTCCAGCCCTGCGCAGACGTGTCAACACACAATCATTATCAGCTAATTACAATCATTCTCATACAGGACTTGGCTGGAGCACAAACAAATTTGAAATAAAATTTAAAGTAATTAAACCCTCCCTGCCCTGTAGAACCATACACCGGATGATTGTCTGGCCTCGGATAGGTCGACACTAAAACTGCACTACCCACAATCCTCAGCAGGACTTTCTAATCCTTCAGAACGCTATCTGACTGTAAATAGACGAGACATAATTTTATATATATATTGAGAAGGAATTTCAAGGCTGGATAAGCCATGTCTATTTTTGTTAAAGAAAAAAAAGTGACCACGTGTCCTCTTGAATGTCCACTGAGTATTCTTTTAATATGTCCAAACATCCTTTATCAAGTGAGTGATTGTATCTGGATCCAACTCGTGTATGCACTTCCATCTGTCAAAGGCAAAACCTCAGTGCTGAATTATATGACAGGAGGGGGGGGAATCATGTCTGAAGCTTACAACATAGTACTTGAGCATTTTTTTTTTTTTTTTACAATGTCCCTTATAGTGTATATAACCCAAAATTGTTCAAGGTGAAGATGAAAATAACCGTCGTTTTTTTCCTGATTCGTAAATGGCATGGATATGTATATCTGAAATGAAACCAGAGTGTTGTCTTCTGCTTCTGCCTCATTTGGGTTAAAATTTTAACAATGAAGCACGTGAATAATATCTCCTTTCTTTTAACTATTTCCTGATTGCACAGTAAATTCATACGATTATAATTACAAAGTACCTTTTTTTTTTAAGGTGGGGTATGCAATTCTAGAGAAATCCAATACCACAACAAATACCAGAAGATGGAGCGAACGACACAAATAATGTAACGTAACGTTAGCTGGGTTGTGGGTAAGCATCAGAACAACAGCACACGTTGGCAAACTAGAAAGTAAGCTAAATGTCTGTGGGCAAGTCATGTAACATTACCCAAAAGTCATGTCTCAAACTGCTAGAATTGTGTTGTGTTGGGGGGCGGGCCACTTTGTTTCCCACAGAGCCAGGGCGCAGGATAAACCCCAGATTTTCTTTTCAGCACGCTAGCAGACTGTGAGGAGATATACGCTGAACTACAAAAAGATGTGTATTAGATTAGAATTGCATACCCCACCTTTAAGGCACTCTTGGCAAGTTAAACAGCCAGCCCAACCTTGACAAAGCTGATTTTATTTCTATATATATATACTACATACTTTGATGTATGGAAATAGAATATTTCTGTTGTTTGTTTTTTTTCTTTTAGAATATATATACAGATGAGATGCCACACTTTAACTTGCCCAGTGTGTCTGATAACCATGGGCCGCTCAATAGGAAGATGTTTAGGAATGTTAGGAAGTTTCTCCTTTCTTTCTGAATCCACTAAAGTTCTCTTTAGATGTAAAAATCTTCCTGAATGTATTTAAGCCAAGAAGATGGAACTGATTCATTGGTCACAAATGTTCAAGAAAAAGCACCCAACACTACAGATTGCACAAGTTTTCCACTTGTCTGTAAAGGACTCTATACAAAAGGGTTTCCCATCCTGTTTTATTTTTATATTCTTTTTATTTCTTTTCACATCATAACGCCGTTAACGCTGGATATATTGATGTCTGCTAACAAATGTTTTAGTAGCGTTCTCTGTAGAGATTTTGTCACAGAATATTAAATATTATAACTATTGTCTTTCACTTCTACTTTGCCTCCTTGTTGTGCTTATGTCATAATTAATACCCTTCACTTGTTTTAGTAAAAAATGCTGACACAGAACGTTTTAACATTCATGCTTCACTCTATAATGGGAGGGAAGCGAGAACTGGTCTCATTTGAAGATCTTTTCCCTTTTGCTTCCTACTCCCCACTCAGACTTCAGCCTGTGAAATGACCATTTGTCCAAGTCCGTTGTGTTAGAAGAGGTTAGTCTATTTATAGGCGTCTGATCCCTGTGCTCAGCCAAAGCAACGATGGCCTGCCATTCCAGTTACGGTAGCTCCGGCGGCTGCTTGGGTCAGGAACTGAGAAGAGCTCGACGGATTCAACAATAGCATCTCAGTGGCTAACAATACTGCTTCTAATTCTGACCACCTTGTACACGCTGGGCTGTTTGATGTCACCACTGACATCTGCTGTTAGTTCATAGGCAGCATTTTATGTGACAGTGTGTGGACTTCAGTGCAGGCAGGCTTTCAGCGCCTCTCTTTATAGATCACCCACCCGAGCCCTCACCTCCTAACCCCGGCCCATTCAGCTCATTTTCACAGACTGTCACTTTTCTTGACCCGGGAGCAGGAAGTGATACTGGACGACTTGTTAATGTTGCAGAGACTCATAGCACAATGTAAGGACGTGTTCGTGTCAGCAGTGTCTCACTTGAGTATGTTACACCTACTGCTGTTGACAACACTGAGCTTAGTATCATAAGCTCTTAAAGGATAACACAAGTGTAGTGTGCAAACTAGAACTGAAGACATCCTTTGAAGCCTTCCTGGGCCTGTATCCTCCGTGTCATCTCATTTTTCCCTTTTATAAATTAAGAGTCAGCGTTTTCCTCATGTAAATCTGTTTCACGGACAGAATGAGCAACTTGAGCCATAGTATCTTTTTTTATCTACAGGCTCCAGTAGAAAAGACGCCAATGGAAGTGAGAAAGTTTCCAGTCAGACATTTCATTAGTGTGAATGTCAGCAAGTGCAGTTACCTTTCAATAATAAGAGGTCTCATAAATAGTATGTACTATCCATGCTGTGCCTCACTGTACTATGACAGTGACAGGGAAAGGTAAGCTGGCGCCAAGCATGCGAGAAATGACTGACAAAGGTTGGTGGTAACATAGTCCTGACAGGTCAATAAATTACACTTAATGAGCTGCTGATTTCCACGCTCGCTCATCACATCTTGTATCCAGTGGGGACAGGAAATGATTGGCACACAGATCAGGATATCAAATCAAAAGTCGATAAAATGTCAGTTAAAAGTAGGTGAATTCAAGCTCAAAATGCCGGTCCTTCGATACAGGCTTTGACAGCTCAGGTTTTCAGAACGTTTGTGGGTCAAAGGAAAAGATCTTTGTTATCCAGATCTTCAAATAGACCTCTTCATTTCTTATTTTTCTGCAGCATTTATTCTTTGATCCAATGACTTTTTGATATTTGTATTCTAAAAGAGATGTGTAATGTACCAGACTTTGGAAAGAAGTCCAGTTCAGACTAGGTCACCCAATTCAATTTGAAAGGTCAACATTAGGAATTTTAAAATACCCAATTTGCAGATGGAGTCGAATCACATTTCTGAAATTCAGTTTTAAAAGGCAACTCTAGGGAGTAGTTCAAAGGCCAAACAACTGGTCAGCTTGAGGAAAACGGCCCAATTTCTCAACAATTTTGTGACTTTATCCCATGTGCCAACCTGGGTGGCAACAGCACTGTTTTTCTTATCATTTACACCAGGTAAAATGAGACTGCTGTCCAGCAAAACTGTTGCCATAGGGCAGTTTAAAGTGATTAAGTGCTTTAACCTTCAGTCTGCTCTTGATATTTTAAACCAGTTATTCCAATCTCTTTGTTGTCAATGTCAATCACGACAACACAGGGCAAGTGGCTACTACGGGGGGCGTTTCTTGTGAGCATACAATACTGTATGTTCTGTATGAAGCATCATTTACCTGTCACTTCCTAAAGAGGACATAGTTTATAAATATCATCCAGTAGAGCTGAGCGATGGGGCTACAAAAGGCTGCTCACAATCTCCCCATTGTTCACTGGCATCATTGTTGGTCTGACCTCCCAGCTGCTCAGCCATGGTAAGTCACTGTGTGTGTGTGTGTGTGTGTGTGTGTGTGTGTGTGTGTTCGCGCCATTTGATGGTGCGAGGACAGTGTGGGACAGGATTTTTTGGCTCCAAGGATGCTGACTGTATTTTGGACAGACGAGTGCAATAATTTAATTCTCATCTCTATATTTGTCTTCTATTATTAGTATCTCTCAATATAAATACAACATTCTCTGTGATGACTAATTGCCTTAATGACATGAATACCAAATAAATGTTAAAACATATTTCAATGGAAAGGTTTCATTTTATACCAACTTTTTACCAGACATGGAGTCCATTGTTATGTACTACATTAATGCATCCTAAATTTCAAACATCTTCAAAGAAAAATAATTGTAGTGTTTGACTTACTAAACGACACTGACATTATAAATGTCAAATTGTTACTGCCTTTATATAGCTTAAACAGTCCACTCATTTATCCAGTTTGTGCACTTGGAAATTCACCAAAACAACTTATATAACACCTATTATGCATGTTGTCTGACATGTAGTTTTACCTTAACTGGCATGTAGTGTGTGTCTCATCTGTCATCCTGTCTTTGTGCTGAAAGGCCCCCAAGAAAGCCAAGAAGAGGTCAGCAGAGGGAGCCAACTCCAACGTGTTCTCCATGTTTGAGCAGGCTCAGATTCAGGAATTTAAAGAGGTGAAAGCGATGCAACCAAATTTTGTTTCACTGGTTTACATTTGGGCTGAGAATGGCATGACAATTGTGGAAAAGTTGTGTGAATGTGCATGTTAACTCATTGTGTCCAGGCATACGTGTTTCTGTCTTACAAATACACAGCTACACACACAGAGGCCTCTATTTCTTCTCCCCTCTACATCCTCCTCTGTCTTTCTACTTCCATTGTTCATCGTTGTAGTATTTCCACCTGTCTATTTTCCTGCCCCTGGCTTGGCAGCAGTGAGGCATGTGGTATGCTGGTATGAGGGTCAGTGGTGCCCAGGCAATCCAGACTGTGTCATCAGTGATTAGGCTGCAGATAAACTGCTGGGCATGCCCTGGATGCCGGGCTAAATCCTGGGGGGACTTGCAGGTTATAAATACTTAACAGTGTTCACCTATGAAGATGGTACACAAAATATTTAAGGGGAAGAAAGAAACTGTGCGTGAGAGTGAAGTGGCCTGAAAACATGTGGTTGTTACACTTTTCAAAGCAGAGAGGCTCATTTGTGTACTGTACCTTCTCCTGTGCACTGACCTCAGGCTTTCACCATTATGGACCAGAACAGAGATGGCTTTATCGACAAGAATGATCTGAGGGACACTTTTGCTGCTCTAGGTATGTTGACATTGGTCTCACAAGATGCTATGAGTTGATTTAGTTTTGATTGCCTTCAGTGTGGTTGCAGATAAAAGACCACAGTCTTTGAGGAGTAATGATTTGATAAAGCAAAACAGACTCTGGATCATCATTCTTGATGTGCAACAGTTGAATGTGCTACTTGTGTCATATGTTAATGTTGAATGTGTGGTGCCATAGGACGCCTCAACGTGAAACAGGAAGAGATCGATGAGATGCTCAAAGAGGCTCCTGGCCCAATCAACTTTACCGTCTTCCTCACCATGTTCGGTGAGAAGCTGAAAGGTAAGGACACATGGGCTTTAATCACAGAAACTGACTTGAAGTCATGCAAATAGAGTAATCCTTTAAATCTGTTGGAGAACTGTACTGACTGTTTTAATGTATCCAGGTGCTGATCCAGAGGAGACCATCCTCAACGCGTTTAAAGTCTTTGACCCTGAGGGGAAAGGTGTACTCAGGAAGGACTAGTAAGTGGCTCCACACAATCATGTCAATTTGCAATATGCAAATTCTTTGCAAAGGGAGTTATGTAAGCTTTCAAGTTATGACTGCGTCTCAGTATGACTGCAGTCATTCATCCTAGTACGAGCCATTATTACCTGCACACATCCTCTTGGCGTGAACACAGGCCTCGTCATCTCACACAGTGTATTTTCTCTTTTTTCCTGTTCAGTGTGACACAGATGCTAACAACACAAGCGGACCGTTTCTCCCCTGAAGAGGTACATTGTAGTCCTTTTACACTAATTATCATTATTATGTCAGATTGCTTTGTGTGTGTGTGAGTGAGTGGGTGAGTCCAAAAAGCATGGAAGGATAAACGTCATCATGACGAACGTCTACATCCACGTCAGAAACATTGACATACAAAAAAAAAAAACCCTCAGTGAATCATCATCACACCTTTTCATGCACACTGAGCTACATGTTGTCTTTGTGAAGTGCTAAAGCTCTGATAACAGTATTGGTAATATCTGTTTTTTGGTGGTTAGATGGAGCAGATGTTCGCTGCCTTCCCCCCAGATGTGGCAGGGAATCTGGACTACAAGAACCTGGTTCACATAATTACCCATGGAGAGGAAAAGGACCAGGAGTAGACCTGTGTTCATCAAATAGAAAGTCCGTACATGGTGTACTTGAAACTGGCCCACTGCCCTTGAAGAAAATAATGACTGTGGTGTATTTACGCATCTTAATGTTGGCTGCATTATCTCTGTACTTACTCAAGAGGACTTACTTTCGGGCACCAAAAACCGACAATTGACAGCATCAACATAGTGAGCTGTCTTGCTCCCTTTCTGCTTTATTCACAGTACATTCATTTGAGACTAATTGAATTATTTTTCCATACCATTTTGTACACTCCAACCTCCTCTTCCTGCATGTTTGTCTAATAAAAGTTTTCAAAGACAGTAGCCAACCTGCTTTCTCATTTTTGTCTCATTTTATTCATCAAGAATATGAGAGGGTAAAAACATATGGAGACTTATGCAAGAGAGGTTATATTCCTGTGTGTGGTGCTCATATGTTTATAGGCTCATCAGATTACTTCTTGAACACATGGCTACACCAGCTAGTCTTCTAAATCCATGTTAGGTGGTGAATGTGTACTTGAGAATAGTGGATGTGCAGTTGGAGGTCTTCTGAAATCCCCAAGAGATTAATCCCAACCATGCGTGTGGTATTATTTGTGTGTGTGTCGGTGTCTATTTGCGTGCATATGCATGCACAAAGTAGGATATGTATGTATTGAGTGTGCACATTAAAATGTTTGGCTACTGAAACAGAGGACTTTAGTGAGACAAAGCCCTGTTGTTATTTTAGTGCTGTGATGATGTGAGGAGGGCAATGCCATACTGTGAGGACAATGGGATGCCACCAAGTGCTCCTTACCACTGGTTGTTCCAGCTAAGGGGGGTTGCTTTGCCTTCTGGAAAGGCAAAGGGGACGTGTAGGGAGTGGTGAGGGATAAGTGCTTGGATCAACTCGGACATTTGAGCTCACATCATGTGTCCTGTTTTAACAGCCTCTAGGAACAGACTGTGGCCATTGAAGGAGGGGAACTTGGGCACTGGGGAAACAGCATATTGTCCCTTTTAACCGTAGTCATGCCAGCTAGCAATGGTGAATGACCATTCTACCCATAAATAGATGAGAAACAGGTCAGCTCAGCAGTCAGAGCACTAAAAAATATATATAAAATAAAAATTGACTGAGATAACTAAAATATAACACTATATAAATAAAATGAGGATTTGTGTCTAAGTGTAAGTTACAAGTGTATACAGTAGTACTGCAAAAAAAAAACAAATGGCAGCAGTCGTGGTAGTGCATTTTACAGACAGCAGATACAGCGATGTGGAATATTTAGGTTAATGAGTTGAGAAGTCTGATGGCTTGGTGGTAAAAGCTGTCCTCCCCCTGAAATCAAATTCATTGTTTTTATATATGTTTTGCACAATACGTCACCAATATCCCACTATCTGGCCCAACAATAACAAAAACATTGTTTTGTAGGTATTCTTGATGGTATTTAAGAGTTGTTGTTGGTCCTTTCCTGGAAAACCTGGGAATTATGATGACTCATCCTGCATTTGGTGATCCAATGAAAAGCTTTCTCAATTTTTATGATGCCACAGTAGTGTTTCTGGTGGCTGACCACTGTACAAAAACACTGCTTTATTCACAGATTTTGTTGAAACTGGATTATATTTTCTGGTTTTCTCTCTGATGGCTTCTCTGCCTCAATTCTCTGTGGCTTTACTTGTTGCTGAAGTAACCGCTAACTGCTGCTATCTAGCTGCTAACTAGCTGCTGTTATATATTTAGCTCAGTTAGCTGTGCAACTAGTGGTCAAATAGAGGGCATGCGTTGATGTCACTTCCCCTTCCGGAACATGCTGGACTGAGTGGCAAAACATGTTACCATGGCTGCGTTTAGCAAACCGGGAGTAAAACAAGTGATTATTTGGTCAAATTAAAGGCAGTCGGACTCGACAGTGATCCTTACTGAAGAACCAGTGGTCTTTCCCATTTAGATGTGTTGTTTGTGTTTTAGCTGATTCAAGCTAACACTGCTGCTCGTCTTTCTGCCACTCAGTGACGTCATGTGCATACCCTCTATTAGCTTAATCTGCCCGGACAGGGAGCTCAGAGCACTAGGAGGGTGTTAGTGTTTATACTTTTGAGATTTTCGAGCCAAGGGCAGGAAATGCTAGTGGTGCGCTCGCTGGATTGGGCACCAGAAATGGACCCAAGCGAGTGGGCAACAAAACTGCACTCAGCAGCCTTCCAGTGAACGTGGCCTGAACACGACCGAACACAGCCTTTCATGGAATATACTAAAGAGGTGATTTACAGATTTTCTTGATGTATTGATGGCTTTACTTTTTGCTAAACCGCTAACTGTATCTGTTTAAACAGCAATCAATATCTGTGACAAGTCCCTTGCTAGCTTTTTAGTTTTAACAGGAAACATGTAAACATGCGGAAGCAATTGGCACACTGATTTCCATTTCATGGGAACTTTAAGCCTGGGGGTACATGCAGCCATGCACCTGTATGACGCTTCCTGTACTCCAGAACGTGATGCAGCCCGTCAGCAAGCTCATGGTTCTCCTGTAGAAGTTTGTGAGGACGCTGGCGTTGAAGCCAAACTTCCGCAGTCTACTCAGGAAACAGAGCTTCCGGCAAGCTTTCATGACCACAGTGTCCGTGCATAGTGTCCAGGAGAGGTCCTCGAACTTGAAGATACTGACCCTTTCAACCTTGGCATCACAGATGTAGACGAGGAGGTGTCCACCCCAGAACTTGTTTCGTCACTACGTTGAATACGTACGAAGAAGAAGAAGACAAAGACGAAGAAGTAGTAGAAGTGAAATTTAGACAAATACAGGACCACATGTATTATGTGGACACAGAACGTGTCGGCCAATGTAGTTTCTCCTACACACTTGCGAAGGCAGGGTTGAGCTTTGACTGAGTCGTTAGTTGCAATTTGCAACCCTTACCACTAGATGGCACTAAAACTTACACACTGAACCTTTAAAGATTACATTTGAACTGTATTAAACCTAGTTCACACTACACGATTTTTTGCCCGATTTGCTGCTTGGCGAGCTCGGCGACCGTCAGGCTGTGATTGGAGGTAAATCAGTGGTCGATTGGCGGTCACCAGTCGTTATGAGTGAACTACTCAAGGACGCATCAAAACGGCTCCCCCCTGACACATTTCTGACACATCGCCAATGTCTGCTAGATATCTAGCATGCCAAATATCTAGAAGAGTCTCGACATACACATGCAGCCAATGAGAGCAGGCAGCTACTTTTTCACATACACTTTTTGCTCACCTCCAGCTCTCTCTGTAGCTCAGACGATCCCTGCTACCTGCGTGTGCTAATCCATTCTTTCCCCCATATACTTTGTCTTTGTAATTGCTATCTTTATAATAACAAACAACAGCTGTTTCGTGCGTAGGTTTGCGTCATTTCCCGTTTCACATTTCACGTGTGTTTTCTTGACAAAACGTGGTTTGGAGACCAGCATCAGCTCGCGTAGTGTGTGACCCCTTGTCACCGATCAGTCATGTAGTGTGAACACCACAGCAACTTCAAGACTTCCGTCACATGAGGCAAGTTGTGTAGTCTGAACAGCACAACGTTTTGGCCGACGCTGAAAGTTGTGTAGTCTGCACGAGGCATTAGTGGACGGGGAATACAGGAGGGGACTGAGCACACAGGCCTGTGATGTGCCCGTGTTGAGGATCAGCAAGGAAATGGAGCTGCCAGTTCTTAGCACCTGCAGCCTGCCCATTAGGAAGTCGAATATCCAGCTGCAGATGGAGGTCTACAGGCCACGGCCAACCAGCTTAGAAATGAGTTTTTTGAGGCAATGATGGTATTGAATGTCTAAATAGAATCAATGAGTCTGCATACATTCTCATATACATATTCCCTTTGTCCAGGTGGGTGAGTGCAGTGTATGTCACCAAGGCAATGGTGTCCAAGGTAGGGCTGCACAATATACTGTATAGTTTCATCATGAACAACGCCACCGGGGTGGAGCTCTTAAACAAGTGACTTTAGAAGGACCATCTTATTAGACATGCGCGGACCTGGACAGATATTTGGATACAGAACTATGTTGCTGACTTTAAATCAGAAAACTAATAATCTGAAATGATTTGTTTTGACCCTCAGGCCCACCGTACTGTGCAACATACAGCAAAGAACCAGGGTATGGTGCTGTCATGTGTTGTTTATTGCCGTTATTGCCAGTAAGAAGAAGACAGATGTTATGGCACCAGTTTCTGTCTGATCAGGCAGACTTCAGTGAGCGTGAAGTAGACCTGCCGCTCTCTGTTTCCACAACTTCCTCGTATTCTGTAACAAATACACATAAAGTGTACAGTTTATGTTTGAAGAGGTGTAAACAAAAATGGCTATAGCATATTGGTCAAGAAGTCTGTCACATTTAGATTACATACATACAGTTTCCCCGCAGGATTATAGGTTAGGTGTTTCATACCTGGCAGCAACTCAGAGTTGTACAACAGCAGGTTGTGAGGAGGCAACTCCATCTGCTTGTCTGCCACGTTGTTGGCCTGGATCAGCAGGTTACTAATAATCTCCTCAAGGATACCTGAAGCACAGAGAAGGGGTGTTACAATGAGAAAAATGTACATTCAGGGCGAGGTTAAGAGTTCTCTATTCCACTCACCAGTGAAGTGTGCAATGTTTTTAGGAGTGACAGTGACTTCTTCTTGTACTGTCGAGTTTAATAGGACATTGATGGCAGTCTTCAGCTGCTCCAGAGTCCTCTGAACCACAGTGCACTGCTTTTCCAGGGAGTCTCCCAGACAGCTGTACTTCTCCAGTGCAGACTAGAGCACAGAAAGATACAGGAAAAAAAAAAAATAAGACAGCTTTCTGGTTCTTGGAATTACCTAGCGCTGCAACTGGAAATGAATCAAGACCCAGTTATAATATTTACAGTATGTTTGAAACGGTCCACTGTATTATGAGCATAGCTCAGACAGTGAGGCTCACCTCTAGATCCTTAAACTCACTCTCACTCTGCTCATCATGTCCTTTGCTCTCTTGCTGCAGGAACAGGTTGTCACTCTGAAGGAGAAACACTTAAACATGAATAAAACCTGCACTAAAACTATGTCTGTAAGCATGTTGATGTGTTGCATATGTCTTCATCCAAGGGTGTAGATTTGCATATGGACATTGAGACATGTCCCTACCAATATTTTGGGAATATTTATGCCTATCAATGTTAACTTTGGAGTGAAGTCATGTTGCGTCGCTACCAACGCTGAGACCAAACCTACGCCCTTGCCTTCATCTTGTCTGTGCAGTTCTTCAACTTGTTCCACCTGTTGTGCAGCTCATTGATGTAGCTGATATGAGCTAAATTCTTCTGTTCATTCCAAATAAACTTGTGGCCTATTTGACGCGGGTCGCTTTCTCGGGTGACCTTCACTAGCGTACTGTGTCCCTGCACGTACATCTCCAGTTTCTTAACTCCACTCTGATATTGTTGCAATTTCTCTGTACCAATGAAATAAAGGTTACAGACTATTAACAAGTCAGATTAGGAAAAACATCAAATGACATCTGCTTGGGGTAAAGGTAGAGACCAAGTCTGTTTAAGCCTGGATCATGTTATACTCTGCCATGCAGTGATTATACACGATTCCTTGTGGAATATTATACTTCTCATCTTGGAGTCTTCATTGTCTTCCACAGGAATAATTTCCTGGAGCTTCCGCTCCATGAAAGTGTGCAGTTTGGCATTGTGCTTGATGAGGGTCTTCAGCTGCATCTGTCTCTTGGTGAACTGAACTGTCTCCACATCGATGCTCTCCCTCGCCTCCAGCATTCGGTTCTCGGCCTCTGACCTGTAGCATAGCGCAACATAAGTACAGATCATATTTCAGATCAGAATATCATGGCTCAACCCTACCAATACAATACGTTTTTTTTCTTCAAGTTTTCCACATGCACACAAACATGTGAATTCACCTCTGTTGGGCAGCAAGGTCGAGCGTCTCCCCCAGTTTCTCCATGATGTTTCGCTGTATAGCCAACTGGCTGTTATACTTCTCTTCGATATTGCTCCCTATGCCTATCTGGTGCAGCAGGTGATCAATTTGTTCACGGTACTCCGTGTTGTTGCATAGCAACTCATCAAACTTAATAGTGTCCTGCAGAAGATGAGGGAAGGATAAAATTAGGGCTTGTGATTAAGGAATAGTTTTACATTTTGGTGGGAATATGTTTATTCTCTTTTCAAGTGCTAGATAAAGAGACTGATTCCCCTCCAACATCTGTTCATTAAATATAAGGCTATAGACAGTAGCCTGTTAGATTGCTTAGCACTGAGACTGGAAACATGCGGAATTCATCTTGCCTGGCTCAGTGCGTAGACAACAAATCCACCTATAGTACTAGGACCTCTAACTCACTAACATATCAGTTGTGGTTTTACATGGAGTTGCTGGACTATTTCTTGGCTGGGTGCAGTGACTTCCTGGAGTCTTCTCTAGCACATAATGCGCCCAGTGCTTTCAGTCTTTATGCTAAGCTAAGCTAATCGTCTCTTGGTTGTAGCTTTAAATTTGACAGGCAGACGTGAGATTGGTATCAATCTAACGTTCAGCAAGTAAGCAAGTAAGTTTGTTTCCCCACAATGCTGAATTACCCCTTTAATGCACTCATTAAATGGGTAGGGCCTTGAATGAAGTTGCCACTGTTACAGTAGCATGAAGGTGTGTTATAAGCAAAGTCAGGATCAAGATTATGTTTTTTTATTTGCATTATTACCTGGTTAAGTTTATCCTCTAAGATGTGGATATGTTTTCTCTGGCGGCTGTTTTTCCCTTGTTGTTTCTGAATGCCACCTGGGACTGTTAATTTCTCTTGAATCTTGCTCTCGGCCTCAGTTATCTGGAGCCACGCAGGGAAAGAGACACAATACATACAATGTACATTGGATTTGAAATGGAATATTGACTGTGAATTTAAAGTGCTGACTTTCTGCTTTAAGGGTGTTGAAAGGGCTTCAAATTCAGATGTTTTAAACAGTGAAGAAACAGAAGCCCTTCCAATACACAGTCTCCTCCCGTTTTTTTAACAGTGCAGCACTATCTATTCCAATCCATGGGCTGGTAAGTAAATAATAACATGGAATGATTTGGTTGAACACTAACGCTGTTCATATCTGACCTTAATGTATGATCACAAATAGCAGCCTACCTCTTTATAAAACAAACTAGTATTACACCACAAACTTCTACAGCGTCTGCTATTACAGGTATCGCATATTACTATTACTGTGACTACATATTCATATAATATATAATAACCGCAACAAAAACAGAATTAAAGATAATCTCAACTGCAACAGGAATATAATGATCATAATATTAACTCATTTAAAATTGGTTAAAGGTGAAACAGACTAAAAATCCCTTTGATCTTTAGACAAGACCCTTCAGTGGCCAAAGTTTCAGAGTACAGTATATGTCAGTCTAGTAGTTTACCTCCCTATGCACAGAGACCAAGTGATCCTTCTTCTGCCTGATGAGTTTCTCATTTTGGTTGTTTTTCTCCTGCAAGTTGTAATGCTCCTTTAAAATGCCTGCAGCCATTTTGATCTAAAGACATGTCACAATTCAGTATGAAGTCAGTGATTAGTAGCTTGGCAAATAATCATATAAAGTTTTGGCATTACCATATCAGAGGATAATGACCTACCTGCAGAACGTGGAGTGAAATCCAAATTAAATCTAGCTGGGAGAAAATCTCACTCCGAAGAGAAATATTTTTATATTCTTCCTAATACTGAAGCTGCAGCATTTCTCAGTTTCAAACACAAACATTCTAAAAGGGTCTGTGAATATTTACTGTTGAAGTGCCGGGATCATTTGAGTAACAATGTAAACAGAGAATAGAATAACAATAATAAATCCTAAAAATTATTAAGATCAGGTTGGAAGTGAAAGTAAAAATAGAGCCAAACATTTCTGGGACATATAGGCACTGAAATAAAAGGTGAAAAAAAAAGAACATTATTGAAAAGACCATCGTCAGCCTACCCGAGTGGTGACTCACTGAATCTGAATGTCTTGTTGTACATGAATACCCCCTGGCGGCCATTGAGGAAAATAAAAGACGAAATAAATCAAATGGGCATCCATCCACAGTGTCCACAACGCAATCACAAGTAATTCCTAAGTGCAAACCTACAAATTATCATGCAGCAAGATAAAAATGATAGCTTCCACAGAGGTCTAGTTGAGATGACATAAAAATCCTATGTAAAGCCACAATAAGGTCACTATAATCTCACTGCTGAGCACCACACACATCCCCTGTAGTAATATTATAGGAATATTACACCATCATTGATCAGGTGAAGCATTTCACAGTGTGCTGAGGTTGCAATTAACGCTCTCTCGCAGAGGTTTATATTGAGATTTAATACAGTTCTCAAGTGGCATTTAGTCTATTGAGAAATGATGGATGAATTTTCTGAGAACAGTCGTTTTGTGCTGAATGTGTGTTCAGGGATAGATGACTTTTGCTGTGACAGAAATGGGGAAGTTGTCAGTTCACTCCTCGTTCATTAGAGTTAGTGTAGTATCTGTATTTAGCTTCTATTGCATTGCACATCTGTAAAAGCTTTTCATTGCTACTAAACCCAGGGTATTCTTTTCTGTTTTGTTGTTTTTACTCAAAGGTTGTTACATCAAAATGAAATCAAAAATCCCTTCCTATTTAAATGTACACCCGTTTTTCAGGCCAGTTAGTGTTCTGACATCCCTTGAACAGACTAGCTGTAAGCTTACAGAGCGTATAAAGTTGGTCATATCTGCCATCAGGTCAAACTCAGTGGGCACGTAACGTAATGTTCATATGGGTTCAGAGGTTGAGTTACTTCATTTGGATACATCTCAAATATAACATACAGTTGTGAATGGTCTATATCTATAAATTCAGTTTCTACCACCACATATCTAAATTTAAACTTGGCCCTCCAGCATATTCCTTCTCATACCTCAAATCCAAGGATTTATTGGAAAGCAAAAACATGTTTTATGATTGAAATGGTTGTGTTAACTTTCATGTTATAAGCTTCATGTTTATGTAATTCTAGGCCTTCTGTGATTTCATGAAATCAAAAAGCAGGCTAGAGTCTTTTTAGTTACTGGGCAAAAGTGAAACTATAAAGTAATTTAAACCAATAACAAAGGAAGTCAATCACAGTGGACGCAGGGTCTGAAGGGCCTATTAGCTTTTTTCTGTTCTATGATTTTCTTTTTTATCTTGTCTGTTTGGATAATGGGTCAACTCTGTATAGCTAGCTACATGTGTCCATTTACATGTTCTTAATTTTTGCTCATTACTCCTGTACTGTGAAACTAGAAGAAAATGTCTTTTTCTGGATTCCTCGATTCAAGCTGTTACCCTAAACAACTTTGATTTTTGTTTTTTTTGCACTTTTGCTCCACCTATATTAAATGTTGTCAAATTTTTATAAAAAAAGGTCAATTAAATATTAAATAATTAAAGTTATTGCAGTTAATTTTAGAAGCCAGGTGCAAATCCTGCAAAATGATGATGGCATTTCACCCATAGATGGCACTATGACAACATAACAAATTCAAATGTACATAATATAGAGGTTATGAGTCTGGCTCACTTAAAATTTTGTCTAAAGCTTTAGCAAACACAAATCAGTTCAGGTCTACGAATCGATTGAATGAGATTGATTAGATGATTTTTGATGCTGACTACTCCTCACATCCAGACAGCCTTTAGTTAGCCATCGAAACACACAGTGCTGTTTTCTTTCATTGTTGTTGTCAGCATATAAATTGGTGATTTGTTATGAGGGTGTGAGTCTAAATGATCTTATTTTAGATTAGCTTTTGACTCAAGCTTCTTGTATAAAACATTTGAGCAGGTGCTTGCTTCTGAAGAGCGGCCCTTGAGCTGTGGAATGTTGTTTAATGCCAGGGCCACCCCCCCCCCCCCAGTCTGTCACTGCCAAACATAGAAGAACTTTGTAGGTGGTAAAGACATTGTGCAAATTAACTCTGTGATCCTACTTGGAGTGAAACTACAGTATAGAGATCATTTTTTTGGCCGCATATAATTATTGACACACAAATAACAATTTTTCCTGTGCTTTATTTTTTATTCTTTTTATTGTTTTATTATGAATTTCCTTTTGACGGTGTCTACAGGACTAGCTCCATACACCCACTGTTTACAATCATTCCTGGAGAATCTCCACAGACTGTACGCCGCATCCTCTAACGTTACAGGCTCAGATTCCTGTCCAGAAGGTGAACAACAGGCCCTATGTGTGTTTTCACCCAGTCTCAGTTTATAAGAATCTCTTTCCAAACACACATGTGGTGTTTGAACAGCCAACTACACCATTAAGTGAACTATAGTTTAATATACTGTAGCCCTAAGTCTGTTCAGTGCTACTCTCTGCCGCTAGATGTCGCTGGTCCCTGTGTGGAGGGGCTGGTGGGCAGGCAGGGGGCTGGATGTGGACTGCTGAGACTCCGGAGGGGGGACGGCAGGCTATGTGTGTGTTAGTGAGTGTGTCTGAGGCTCGTCGAGCAGCAGGGGAACTTGAAAACTTCACCGCGTTCACCGAGGGACATCTCTGACCGGAGATTTGGCGTTTAGGGAGCCGAATCCGCCGCTCCCAGTCCAGCTGTGATCGACAGAGGAGGACCGGTCCGGTTCTCAGCACTGGAACGATTTCCGGCCAACATGGATGATTTAGGTAAGTTCGCTCGCCGTGAACGCAACATTTACACAGCGCGAGTGTGTGTGTGTGAGAGAGAGAGGGAGGGAGAGAGAGAGAGAGGGAGAGAAACACACTGGAACCAGGCTCATTGCGATAATTAGCCTAATTAATCAGCTGTAAAGTAAAGCATGTGTTAGAGAGGACACAGTGCTCTGGCCGGTGCATTGGCTGTGTTTGTGGGCGAATTAACGTTAACTCCTCATACAATTCCTCCACACCAACGAGACACGATAGGCTGCTGCTGCAGGGCTCCCCCAACTTTTCCATGCTGAAAATTGGTAGAAATACATACGTTATAGACCACGGGTCATTTGACATTTGATGAGACACTGACCTATTGATCCCCTCCAGGTGATTGTCAGGATTACATAACTGCCAATGCTGCAGGTGGGATGTCAGCAAGAGTGGCTTCTGATAAAAACACTGAGTTATTTCATTCGTTGGATGATCAGTAGTAGCCCGTTTTAAGCCCCCTGCAGTTTTAAAGCCTGAATTCGGCCCTGATTTCCGCCAATTGTCACACCACTGCTGTGTTTGCACACACGCTCAGCAGCAGATGAAGCCCGGAGAGCTGTGCTGTCCTCCTCCTGCCTGTAAAGATGAGCTTAACTCAGTGAATTATGGCACACTTGGTGACAGCAGAGAATGTAATGCCTGAGGGCAGGTGGTGGTGACAGGAAGGGTGTGTAGAGCTCAGCACATTGTTCTTGATGCACACAATATACAACACTGCAGATTCCCTCTCAGTTCATTTGCTATTATTTTAGTGGTTCCAAATTCTTGCAGTGGATTTCTTGTTCCTGTGTAGCACTGCATGGAGTGGTATGAATAAGAGTTGCGAGTTTATTTCAGTATATGCAGACCCCTTTCCCTGATGTAAAAGTGTGAAGCGTAATGAAAAACAGAAGGATGCCTCTGTTGTAAGGTAGCTTGCACAGTGCCATCAGGAGCAGAGTGTTTTATTTTTAAATTAAGTTTAAGCATTGACTGCACAGTTTGTGTTTACAAGGCTTTGAGTTCTATGTTGGCAACTGTAAGGTTAAGTTTAGCGGGACGTCGTGCATTGAAAGAGTTGGACTGGATGCTAAAAACCTCCCAAATGCATTCATAAACTCAAAGATGATGAATGTTAAATGTAAAAACCATCCAACAAGTGTGATCTGCTGGTGGACTTGCTATTGGATTGCAGATACAGCTCTGTTCTACAGTATGAAAACATATCATCCCCATTTCCGACAGGACAAGGCTATTGAGACTGGCTATGTTATGCATTTTTTATAATACAATTCAAAAAAACTACAGCAGAACACCTGGAGATATCCAGTTTGGACCAAAACCCAGTTCTCTGGCTGACTCTAGCTTGGTGGTGAGCGTGAGACTGTGCCAAGAATATTGGCGATTCTAAATCCAGTCAAAATGGATGGATACCTTCTCAGCTTACATGGGGCGAAGGGCCTTCTTTAAAGTAGCTGCTTAAAAAAGAGTGTTACACAACCGACTGTAATTGCCATGTCACGGGGTTGTAAATTCTGTCATCGTTTCAGCAGACACCTGTAAAAATGTGGCACACAAAATTCTCTTGAAATTTTAAAATGGTTTTAAATGCAGCCGTGGAGCTAAAGAAGCACCTCCCGAAGAGCTGAAGTGAGGCAGTGCAAGGAGTCATGCATCTCAGACCCCGGAGAGGACGACGAAACCTGCATGTATTTTTAACAGAGGAATCCTTCTATTCAAGTGCTAAGCCAGCAGCGCTTAGAGACCTTCCACCAACCAGCAAACACCCCTCTTTTCCCATTTCCCTCACTCCTGTTTTTCAATTCTTCTCTATTCCCGTGTTGCCCCAACACCCATGACATGAAGGCAGTGGCTCTGACTGGCAGGTTCGCTTTCTTCCTAAAAGCATCTTTCTTCTGATCCGCACATGTGCACACACTCAATTTGCTATATCCTCATGCTGCCTTCAACACCAGCTGTGGGAGCAGGCTAGCGCTGCTCACTGGCAGGGTGTTGGGGTGGATCAGGCCCACAAGCAGGGATTGGGCCTCAGCCAAAATGTATCCTCCTTAAACACTGCACTGCCCCACCCTCCCTCTCTCTCTCTCTCTCTCTCTCTCTCTCTCTCTCTACCCTGTCCCCACCATTCCTGTGGTGAACCACATGGGAAGCTGCAGGCTGCAATCTATCGACAGTTTAAAGATGGCTGAGTTTTGCATGGGAGCAGATTAGCCTTCAGAAAGATTTGGATCAAGTCAGATTGGGACACTTGATTGCCTTGATCTGCAATCGTCAGGTTTTTAACTCCAGTCAGTAATGAAAGTCAGAATTGGAAGTTGGAGACAAAAGCTTTCTTTTATTATGCTAGACATGGATTTATGTCATTTGTGTCTGCTTTTATTTATGCAACCTTTGCAGTTTCGCTGCTGTAGCATGTTTTGAGGCAAACTTTCATTGACCTCCCCTACTCAGCCATCAGTGCTGCCAAGCGTTGCTCCTTGCTTCACTGCTCAGGGCCTGCACCAACAAGACATGAATGTCAAATAGCCTCCAAAGTTAACTTCCTTTAACTGACTTTGAGCTGCAGTACCTTTCAGTATTTCCTTTTAATGTCTGCGAATACAGTAACTGTTCTGTTTCTCTCTCGCTGATTTGTTTTACTGTCGCTTTAGTGGCATCATTTGAAGTGAAGTGATTCCCCAGAGCCTTGTCAGCACAGCAGCTACAGTGTTAGAAATGTCACTTATGGAGTGGGCGTGGGCAAAGTAGTTCTTTACTAACACCAAATGAGATTTGATGCAACCTAGATACTCCACCGAGTCTAAATTTAGGTTTGTTCATTGTGCATACACCAAAAGAAACTCCAGACAGCTCACATGTGGACATTTGACATTTCCTCTACATACTCCTTGTTACACGGATGTCATTTATGCCTGAGTGGTAGTTTTTCACTCTATCAGGGACACAGTTTGTATAATAACCTATAATATCTTCTCTGCCTTACAGTCACTGTTATTTTCTACAACCTTCTTCTTTATTTAAATTATGATACAGTGATGGATCACTAACACAGTGCCCACAGAGTAATAATTAAAGTTCATTTTTCGAAGAAATCTGTTTTGGAAAATTCATAACTTTGTTTAAAAGTCACAGTCAGTAGCAAAATAGCAAATATGACTTTTACATTTTGTTGATACGAAGAACAATTTTCCCCTTCGTCCATGGGGAGAGACTTTAAATCAATTGTCATGTGCCTGACTATTCCTTGGCTGGTACCAGTTGTCAGACAGCCCACGGATACTCAATTTCTTGGTTCCCAGGCTCATAAACCCCTCGATTAAACCACAACACGTCATTTTTACACTTGGTTTCCTGTACAGATGAAGCAAACAAGATATAATATGTTTATCAGTGATCTGTAGAGTTGCTGGTAGGCATATGTTGTTACCTTAGGACAGAGACAGGCTAGCTGTTTCCCCCAGTTTCCACTCCATGTGCTAAGCTAAGTTAACCGGCTGCAGCTCCAGCTATGTATTTAGCATACAAAAGACATCAGCGTGGGATCAATTTTCTCGCCACAAAAGCGAATAAGGTCATTTTCCAAAATGTTGAACTACATGAGTGACATGAGTTACATATTGAGGGTGTGGATTTTCTTAAAAGACCTGAGCATTTACCAAGCAGGAGGTTTTACCAAAAGTTGCTTTATGGTAAGTATAGGGTCCAGGGTTTCTGCAGCTTGACGCACACTAGTGACTAAAAGTCAGAATTTCTCTGCTGCTTAATTATGACAATTCTTTCTGTATCTTGCAAATCCCCCCATTTTATAGATAGCAATACTAAATCACTGGAGTACTTTTAAGTTGTAAAGTCAGTCTGGACTTGGACTGAAGTTCCCATCATCAAAAACAACCCTTCAGTTGACTTGCGCTCAAAAATCTGGCAAGTTGTTCTTGCAAATTACATCATAAGTAACCCTCAACTTAATGCAACAAGGGGCAAGCCTACACTAGATGATAAGCCCCTTGCGTTTGACTCATGCATGTAAATCACACACAGAATCAATGTAGCATTTGAAGGCTTGTGAGAATCCCCTGTATCTCCTCCAGCGTTTGTCCATCTGTTTGACTTTAAAATGAAAATGCTGCAGGGCTTTGAAACATATGGTGTATGCACACACAAAAAAAACAACCCCCACACACACACACACACACCAAACACTCATAACCGCTCCTGATCACAGACTGCTGGTGTGGACAGACAGCTCTAAAGGGGAAGCTGACTAAGCAGTGGCAGCTCTACACTCAGCCAACCGTCATGGCATCTCTCATGGGCTCAGCGCACCATAACAACAGCCTGCAGGGTCGATATCAGAATTCCTACTGTTGGGTTTTGGAGCCAGGGTTTATGCGGAAAAGCAAGCCAAAAAAACATATTTCAGTGCATGGGGATTCAAGTAAAATCTGGCTGTGGTTAGGTTCTGTGTAGTCCAGCATGTCACACAGTATAGTTACTGCATGTGCCAGTCATGGTCCTCAGTCCAGCTTTTTGTCAGCTGAGCTCAATGAGCCCTTTTTACTGGGAAGTTTCTCGTCCAGCTAGACACATGTTTCGTGACAGGAAGTGCCCTTAGTGACCTCTCCGTTGTAGCGGCGGTCAGGAGGATTCTTTGCTGCTACCCAACAGAATAGCCCACTGTAGGTCCCAGACATGTTAGTCATGCAAACTTGTGGACATGCCTCATTGTGACCTATTTTTGGTGACTTCCCTAATGTGAGCAGAAGGAACTGGTTTGCTTTTTGGTCTTATTAAGATTTGTTTGTAGTTTTGCTGTTTTCCAGGCAACCAGAACAGCTCATTAGCTTGATGTAGCATGCTGTCAGCAAAGAAATGGAGCAAAATAAGGTGCAGATATAACACATGTTGTATCATGTATGAGGTATATACTGAATGCGCCTAAAGCTGCTATCAGCCTTCCACCC